ATCAAGAGACACCAATTTACATGTACATTGCACCACCAATCAAAAGATTTGATGACCTATCTCAGACTTTGAAAGATGCAAATTTAATTCCAGCTTCAATTATCAATGTAGGATTAGATAGAAAGAATCCAAAGAGTGAATCATTTGAATCTCCAAAATTGAAAACAGATCTTTTGTCACAAGTCACAGATATTGAACTAGTTAGTGTTCCAAAGAATGAAAATGTTCCAACTCCAACCCCAACCACAACTAAAAGTGCTAAGAGTGAAAAGAATGTAAAGAACCTTCTCTCCAAATTAACAGGAAAGAGACATTAAATTCATGAACTTGTTATCTTTGTAAACTCCAATACAAATTCTCTTGAAAAAATGAAACGATTAGCCTCTTCGTACGATGGTGGTTCAGCTTCTCACCAAATCAAAAAGACAAAACTTGATGCTACTTTTACTATTGAAGCATTATGTAATGATTGTCTTGCAAATATTCTTTCCTACTTGGAATTTAAGGATCTTTTTTCTTGCTTACTTGTCTGTAAGGATTGGAGTGTTTTGCTAAGATCGGAACATGCAATACAACACTTTTTCATTTGTTTTAATTTGCAACAATTTTTCCTAGATAAATTTGAACAAAGAGATGAATGGTTTGTAAAATTGAGAACATGGATTACAGGCTTGTATCATTGTTTTGGATTGTCGTCCTATTGTGATGTTTTCAAAAATAGAGAGTTGATGAAAAGGCAACAATTTCAACCTTTTATCGACATTATTTCATTTGAGTATGCGAGTGATATTTGTATGAGCTTTGAGGTTACTGTTCATCTCGAACAAGAGGTATCATTGAGATTGAAATTTTGTCTCTCTTATACAGAAGATGAGTATGTTTATACAAATGTTGAATCGGGCAATTCAAAGTTTGATTGGAAAAAGTTTAATATTGATCCATCCAAGAAAAGTATAATTGTATTCAGATTTAATGGGAGTGAAGAGGAAGATACTGATTGTACTGTAGAGGAATATGAAAAGAATTCAGAGTTTTTTATGGCATTCTCAGAATATTTCCAATTTGAGGATTTATTTGAATTCTTAAAAAGGCATCTCAATTTTCAACCACGTAGAACTTATAATACAATGTTTGATTTTGCTGAGGATGAAGAGGTAAATTGTTGTGATTATACCTCTAATGAAGATCTAGATATTCGACATGAAATTTTAGAAATGCCAATACTAAGAGTGGCAGAATCATATAGACTTGAATGTTTGGATGTAATGATTAATGTAATTGAGAGGACATATTCTTACATGGTATCTAAAATGGAAACAACAGAAATTAAGGAGAATGAGATTGTAATTTCAAATGTTGTTGGGATTTCACATGTTGTTAGATTTAATAGGAATTACTTACGTAATATTCATACTGATTTCACACTAAAATTCAATGATAAGAGTTGGACATCTGATTTTCAAGTGAAAGAACATTTTTATTATGGACATGATGGATATGAAGGCAATCACCTATTTAAATTGACCGATTGTGAAACAGGTGAAGAAACATTCATTGGAGGATATACCTATGGTGTAAGAGAATTGGTAGTATGGGAATCTGACAGTATTGAACAATTGAAATCTATTGGACTTCCATTCGATAATGTTTTGGAATTTATAAGTAGAGTTATTGATAAGTTGCTCCCTCAATTGCCTTGTTATGATCCATTTAATGGAAAACCTACTTCTAATCAATCTCTATACTTGTATCTGAAAGGAACCTATGAAGAAAACTATTAAATTTACTTTCCACACAAAATTATGTCTTTATTAGGATTGACTCCATTCCCCTCGGGTTTGAAATCGATTCAACTCCGTTTCTGTATGTCACGGGAATTAGCAATAACGATTTATTTAAAAACAAAAAATGCCAATACAAAGACCTTACACATTTGCTAGTGGTACAGTTTGTGCTCTGACAGCCGCCATCCACACTTTCCTTGGTAGGTAAATGGTTTGAAATGAAATTGAACAATTTGATTATTAGGAGGACAAGATATAGTCACCCCTTTACTCAATTCTCACAATCAAGACAAATTAGAAACAGAACCTACTCTTGTATTGCATTCGTGTTGGCATCTAGTTACTGTTTCTCTGGTGGCTAACTCTGCTCTTTTAATTGCACATGGTTTAGGGCAAAAGAGTGTTTCTATTTTCGGGAGGGAGCTATTTGTTGTTTCTCCAGATGTTTGCAATTTTGTAAACAATTTAAATTTTCTAAATGGTTTAGTGTTCATAATTATTGGAGGAAGAGGATCAAAAAAGCAAAAAGACAACATTTGGAAGCGATTACTAGTTACACCTCAATGGATTCTATTCATGGCAATGTATTTCTTGGCTAAGGATATTTAAACACAACAAATAAAGAGGGTATTTCATTAAGGGAATTAATAGTTATTTCTTATTGATTTGATTCAAAATTCTATTTGCATTTTCATGTCCTGCCTCAGCTGCCTTTGTTATCCATTCAAGAGCTTTTCTATCGTTTCTTGGAGTACCCTTACCTTGAGCACACAAACATCCAACATTATATTGTGCATCGACATAGTCATTTTCAGCTGATTTCAGATACCATTCGTATGCCTTATCAAGGTCTTCCCTTTCTGCATAAATTGCTCCCACATTATATTGAGCTACTGGATTTTCTGAGACTTGAGAATACCATTCGAGTGATTTGTCCAAGTTTCTTTCAACCCCCATTCCCTCCTGATAGATGAAGCCAATATTAAAGATGGATTGTGGTGATTGTCCACTGTGAGCAGCATTCAGGAATAACTCCAAACTCTTCTTGTAATCTTTTTCTACGCCTAAACCAAATAAGTACATTTCTCCAAGAAATTCCTGAGCTAATGGATGACCCTGATTGCTTGCGTTATTCAAATGTTCAAGAGATTTTTCAGTATTTGTTTCAATACCATTACCATAGTGATACATGAGACCGAGTTGGAACTGTGATTCTGCATCTCCATTCTTTGTAAACCAATCAAATGCTTGTTTTGGATCCTTTTCAACACCTTGCCCATGTAAAAGCATGAATGCAACAGTAGATTGTGATTCAGGTACACCATTTTGAGCTGCTTTAGAATGCCATTCATAAGACTTGACATAATCTTGTTCACATCCGGTACCATAATAGTACATGAATCCTAATTGTTGCTGAGCTTTGGCATGTCCTATTTCGCCAGCTTTTGTAAAATTCTCAATTGCATTTTCAAAATTTTGACTTGTTCCTCTTCCATTATAAAAAGCTAATCCAACATTAAACAAAGCATCCCTAACTCCCTTCTTTGAAGATTTTAAATACCAGTCAAATGCCTTCTCCAACTCTCCTTTGCTTTCATAAATATATCCAAGATAACATTCAGCTTCCAAATAATTTAATTCATGTAATTTCTCAAAATATTCAAGTGATTTATCCAAATCTTGTGCGAATTCTTCTCCCAATCCAAGCAAGTACATATTTCCCAACATGAATAAAGCATCCACATTATTATCACGAGCTGATAGTTCAAATAATTCTTTGGCTTTCGGAATTTGATTCTGACGTAATAACAATAAACCTTGTTGATAGGCTTGGATATGATTTTGAATATTTTCATTATTCGCTTGTCCTGATTGATTATTATTCTTCTGATTGATGTGAAAGCTTCGGAGTGATGAAATTGTTTTTCCACAGGTAAAAGGTATCAAAAATCCATTCTTTCTATGATGATGGATTGAAAATATTGCCCTTGTGATCAATTTGTTCATTTTTTTAGTTTGAATTTTTGAACTTTTTTAAAAATTATAAATTTATTTACAATGATGAATTGATTTTTGGTAAATTACAATTAAAATATGAAAGAAATATCTGATAATGGTTTGCAGTTTGAACTTTTAAGAGATGATTTGAAATTGTCAGCTGTTGAGCCATCAAAAAGCTTGTCATCTCTGTAAAATATTGTGTGCATTCCTCCACAAGCAACTGAGTTAATGTGAAGATCTTGATGCTTACTAAAGTCAATTCTCTCAAATGTTGATAGCTTATTTAGGGATGAAATCACATTACCAGAATTTCTGAAACCTCTTCCAGTTCCAAACATTACATTTCTATTCTTTTTAGAAATAGCAATAGTGTAATTATCTCCCAAGAAAACATCCCCAATAAATGTATCATGAATGTAAACTTGTGTGAATTTGTAATATGTATTAATGGTTGGTAATCCAAGTTGTAGCTCAGAATTCTTTCCTGTCATGAACAATTCACCATCGACTGTCAATACAGCACTGTGCTTTTCACCACATACAACTTTTGCAATTCGTGAGGTAGAAGGTATGTCAATCTGCTTAAATTCATTGAGAATAACTACATCTTTACCTGCTCCAGCCATTCCATTTCTATTGGATCCGATAGCAAAGAGACGATCTCCCTTCTCATCGCTAACAACTATCAATGAATGATCTTCACCAAATGCCCATTGAGTAATCTTCTCTGATGGTTGAATAAACTTCTCCATTCCCTTCATTCTTCTAAAAATGTTAATATTATTGTTGTGATGTTGAGCTCTTTCAACACCCAACTCATCAAAATTATTCTTTCCAGTGCAATAGACATTTCCACTCTCACAAATCAAAGCAGTATGATCAAAACCACAAACAACCTTCGCAATAACTTCATCATTTCCATCATCTTGTTTTAATAGCTTTAAAGGAACTGGATTAGGAATTGTAACCTCAATCCAATTTTTCAATCCAGATTGGCCATTACAATTATCACCCCATGCAGATAACTTATTATCCTTAGACAAAGCCATTGTAAAATTAGAACCACATTCAATTGCTTTAATCGAACCTAAACATTTAAAATCCCTAATAACTTTCAAATCAAATGATTGCATTGTATTAATGGATTGAGCCAATTGTCCCGAATTATTAGACCCTGATGAGAGAATACAATATTGACTATCACTCTTACTATCCCTTCCCACTACAATGGTATGAAAGTATCCAGTACGAATACATTCAAGGGAGAAACCACTCGGGAGGGAAACTCTAGCCATCTGATCTAATTTTCTAATCATTGAATCACCAGTTGCTAACTGACCAAATTCATTATTACCAAATGAAAGAAAACAAGATCTTTGAGCATCTTGATTGTAGTGGCAGTTATTGCTTGAGGACATTTTTTTGTGTTTTCTTAGTTTCAAATTTGAGAACAGTGAACTCTTTGAAAATGTTGCGTATTTTACGAATGAACAATGAAATGTTGATGATTTTAAGATGATTGATTGTTGTAGAAACTTTCTGTTGAGTATGTTAGATGTGATGAGGAAAGATTGAACAATTTATTAAGGTTGTTGGCAATTGACTTGTTTGGTTAATTTAAACTTTGAAATGTCAACATCCAAAGATTTCCATCTTGACATGATATCTGTCAATAAATTAGTATTCAATGATGGTTGTCTAGCTAAAATCCAAGCATATTCAATATGATAAACTCCCAATATATTTACACATGAAAATACCATTGAATAAGTTTTGTAATCAGTGTCAACAACCCAATATGGACCGGCAAATGGTTGATGTCCAAATGAAACTAATAATTTGGCTGGATCTTGTTCTGGATGTGGACAATATGCTTCTCCAATTGCTTGCGAATATTGGCCATTGATATATTCTGAATTGGTGACAATAATTTTGGATGAATCTGATGGATTGATGGTATAGTTTGCTTTCGAACAAATACCATTCTTTTCGAATGATGAATCAAATCTGGCAATTTCATACCAAACACCTAAATAATTATCAAGCTTGAAATCTTGTTTAGTGTTAACTCTTTGACATTTTCCAAGTTGACCATTAACAGAACTGTTAAATAAATAAAAGATGTAAAAGATAATAAGAAGGATGGTGAGTGATCTCATTTCAATTTTTTTCAAATTGTTGGAATTTGTATTGCTGGAAATTAAACTTGAAATGATTCCATACTTGAAGATGGACAAAATCGTACTTTCTAAACAACGACACAATTTAAATTGCATTTTACAATGACAATTATTATTGGCCAATTATTACATTTCCTTTTACCTTTAGAATACATTCGTTATAGTTTACTGCAAATAATTTACTCAAAAATTCAAAATATTTTACAAAATCTCATTGTTGCTGTTTCGAACATAGAAATGCATTCCATCCCACTGAAATAAAATTAATTACCAGAGGTCTATATATCAGTGGAGTGACTATTAACACAAAAATGATTCAATAATTCATTACAAAAAAACAATCACTTACAAAAATAATTCAAAGTTTGTACAAAAGGCCAAAATCTAACACTCACAGAATAAGTGTCCACCAAATCTCTCTCAATCTTTGATTTTAACACACTAACTAAAGAATCACCTCTCAATCTCTGTTCATTAATAAAATCAGGTGTCTTTTCATCAGGATAATAATAATCAATTGTCGTATTCACAGAATAAAAAAAACTTGTAATAAATGGTGAATAAATTGTAATTTCAAATCCAACTCTTTTCAGTGTGGTAATGAATTTTTGTCGAGTGGTTGCATTATGTGCAATAGGAAAAACAACTTCCAATAATTTCAACCAATTATGAATAATAGGTCCAAGAAAACAACCATAAGCAAACATTTTACATGATCTAATAAGGGAATGATTATCGGAAGATGATGTCTTATTCACAATATTTTGAGTGATGGCATCTCCGAGTGATGTTATCACCCCACATGTTACAGATTTTGTTTTCACTGGATGTTCAATTAATAATTGTGAATAACCATGAATTAGTCGTTTGAACATTTTTTTCTTTCCGAAGATGACAAACAATTTTTGATTGACTCCAAAACACCGTACAATGGAATCACATAGCATATAAGAATCACCATCCAATGGATTTGCATTATCCATTTCTTCACCATTTTCACATTCAAAATTAATCACATTATTTCAATGTTGAATATTACGAAGTGCATTTTCTTTTGAAATATTGCTCCGCCGTAGTTGCGGATTCTCAAAATGGAACGTTTGTAAATCAATTAAGCTGGAATAGAGTGTTTTGAAATTTTAAAAAACCTTCTCTTTATGAAAGGCACTCTCTTAAGAGCTGTCCTTTTTTAAGCAAGTGTCTTCATTGTTTTTCACAAAGATGACAATAAGTTCCTAATGTAAATATATTCAAAAAGAAAGAATCTTCTCAATCTACTACTTCACCACCACCAATATAATTGATTAACAGTGCAATCACTACTTCATCAAATCATAAAAAAATGATTTTACTACACAAGAAACAACACTTGCTCCGAACAGTATTTTCCAACGCTTGTCATTCGAGGCACTTTCATACCTTTAATTCATCAGCATTCTCTCCATCCTCTCCATCATCCAATCAATTAAATTATTTAAATAACAACAATAATCAACAGGCCATATTCTCATCCTCATTCCTTGATTGTGGCAATGCTGTTGCTGCTGCTGATAATGATGACAAACAAGCCACGTGGAATTTTTCAATTCTCCATCACGATAATTCAACAAAAAAAATGTCCCAAGAAGCCCCACACCAATTTCATTTAATTGACGGTCAACAAATTTCTGATGAAATCAAACAAGAAATTGCCACAAGCATTAAGAATGTTGTAGAAAAACAAGAAAAGGATGGTGTTACTGATGTTAAAAAACCAGGTCTTGCTGTTATCCTTGTCGGAGAAAGAAAGGATTCACAAACCTATGTTTCAATGAAGAAGAAGACTTGTGTTGGATTGGGAATGAATAGTTTTGAAACTACTTTTGCTGATGCTGATAGTACCACTACTGAACAAGTTATTGAAGTTATTCAAAAGTACAATCAAGATGATAATGTGAACGGTATTTTAATTCAATTACCACTTCCAAAACACATTAATGAAGAACAAGTATTGTCATCTGTTAGCCTTGAAAAAGATGTTGATGGATTATCAGTTTATAATATTGGTAGATTAGCCATGCGTGGTAGAGAACCAACATTTATTCCATGTACACCTGCTGGATGTTTGGATTTAATTAAGAGAACTGCCAAGGTATTGAATAGAAAATTGGAAGGATCTAATGCTATTGTTATTGGTAGAAGTAATATTGTTGGTATTCCAATGTCTCTCCTCTTGTTGCACAAGTTGAACTGTTCTGTTCAAGTTGTTCACTCATATTCAAAGGATGTTCCACAAAAGGTTAAGGAAGCTGATATTGTAGTTGCTTGTTGTGGTCAAACTGAATTTGTTCAACCTGAATGGATTAAGCAAGGTGCTATTGTCATTGATGTTGGTATTAATGCTGTTGATGACAGTACAAAGAAGGTTGGTTACAGATTGGTTGGTGATGTCAAGTTCAATGATGATTTGAAGAAAGTTGCTGCTGCTGCAACTCCAGTTCCACGTGGTGTTGGTCCAATGACTATTGCCATGTTGATGAAGAATACTTTTGATAGCTTTAAGAGAAAGCATCCAGAACTCTTCCTGTAAATTAAAATTTTGTAAATATCCTAAATCAGAACTTTTCCTTTTTCAAATATTATCTCTTTTGGAAGGTATCTTAATTGACTAGAATACTTTTTTTGCAATATGACAATCCAATAAAAACTCATCTTTGGTAATAATAAAATTTACTCATTAATTATAGCACGAGATCTAAGATCATCATGATAATGAAACCAACAAAGAATCCAGCCAATCCTATTCTACTGGTCAACTTATAAAACTTTTGCTTTTTTCTTGGTACCAAAACATCAGGAGTTTTTTCAAAAATTTCCAATTGAGAAGTAGAATTTAAAGTACCTTCCTCTAATTTTGTTGCTGCAACAAGATCTGATTTAGGTTCAGATTCCTCACCAGAAGAATGATCATGTTTTGAAATAGTTTCAGGAATTAATTCACTCACAACTACAAAAATCATACAAGCACTAGCAAATGATAAGGCATATGGTAATATTGATTCAGATACAGTAACTAATCCAGATCCAATAAGACCTCCTAAAATTTCCACTAAAGCACTAGCACTTCCAATAAACTGAAGAGATATTCCAAATTAATGAACTATTTTTTAATACTTACAAATGATTTCCAATAACCTGCACCATCTCTAACAAGAGGAAGTGACACAGAAAGCCCTTCAGGAATATTTTGAATTCCAACACCCAAACTCAAACTGACAGCATTTGAAATTGAAATACCATTCTTATTTGTTTCGTTTGAAATAGATCCGAATGCAACTCCGACAACAATACCCTCTTTTGGAAATTGTTATGTTTTGAAAGAATTGAATACATACCTGGTAAATTGTGAATAGTCATGGATAACATTAAAAGGAATGATCTTCTAAATTTCACCAATAGTGAACTCAATTTACTCTTCCAATTTGCTTTCCTTTTAGGTGGAACTTCTGCTGCTTTTTCTTCAATTTTAATTTCAATATTGTTAGAATCTTTCATTTCAATTACAGATGTTGTTGATGTTACTTCTGTTAGAGACGCTGATGACATTATTGGTTCCACTGCTGCAGCCTCTTGTTCCTCCAATATCTGTAACTCCCTATCATATTGTTTCTTTTTCTTTTCAACAAAATCATTTAAATAATCAACTATTGATTGGAATAATGTCATAATTATAATGCAATTCCAATCTACTAACCTCCAATATCAAATATAATAAAGAATAAAATTCCAATTGTAAATCCTCCAAATACAGGTAACACTGAAATATATTCTCCATATTGTTTTTCACTCAATTCTAAAGAAATTTGGTCAATTCTGTCACTCTCAACTTACCTGCAGCAGGCAACAATAAACTGAAGAAAGAAGCTGCCAACATAATACCACCTCCCAATCCAAACAATAATTCCATCACTGTAGTATAAAACTTATTAGATCTCCCCGAACAACAAATAAAAAAGAAGCAAGCAGCTGCTCCCAATGTTGTGAACAACCAATTAATAGTAGTAAATATCACACCCAATCCGATCGGATGTATCGTCAATAGAAATGAATAAAATTCTGCCATATTATGTGTATCGGTGCCATTCGTTGTCTGATTCAATCCTGAATCCATCACCGAGTAAATTTGAGATAAATGATGAAACCTATTGTGGATCATTTTTTTTGTGTTTGTCGTTGAGAAGATTCTGTTGGTTTGTGGAGTGAAATGGAAATTGGCGTGTTTTTTGTAATATTCCAAAAGAATCCACAATGTGTGGCAAAAACAATAAGGAGTCCTTATACTTCTAATCTCATTGGAAGAGGATAACAACAAGCAGTTTGTGCACGTCTATGCTGTTGAAGCAGAATCGATTTCTAGTACAGCTTTGCTTTAAGTGAGCCGGAACAGAGAGTCACATCATCACGGCTAACAATTTTGGACCCTTTTGCATTTTCATCATCATTTTAGATTAAAATTCCATCCTTATTATTAAAGGGAAATTAATGTTCGTGTTGTATGTTGCAAGCGCAAATCCAAAGGCATCAAAATTTGCTAAGGAAATCAAACCATCATAATTATGTTCTTAGTGAGTTGGAATTGAAAATGTCATGAGATATAATTCCTTATTGTTTTTAATTTGCATTCATAACCTTGGGAGTGATGATTTTGTGATCATTGGTATGAGCCTTATCCAGAGATTTGCCACTACTGTGCAATATGGATCACTCGCAAATTTCGTCCGCCAAGCGATTTGACTAATTTGGGTATGATTCCCGGTTTACTTTTGTTCGTCATTATAAAACATCTTTGAACCAACAAAATCAATGTCTTTTTACTCTCCAAAAAAATTCTACAATCAGAATACATCTTTAAAAGTGAAGATTCTAGTGTCTATCTTCTCACTGTTCTGTAGAGTATTCATATCATCATCATTAGCTTCAAGGAAGTTATTGTCCTAATAGTTCTCTTTAATAGAACCATTTAGTTAGTACTTGGGAAAAAGCCTTTAGAAAATATTTTGCATATTGGACACGAAGAAGTAATTGCTATTATTATTCTGATATTTTCATCATTTACTGATTAAAACAACAATTGCTAGAGTCTAGCTGAAACTATTAGTAGTAGTAACAGAGGAAAACACCACTCATCATCCAATAGTTCTACCACCCTAAAAGTAAAAGATAGCACTCATCAAAGTCTTCCAAAAGAGTATTGCTGCTATTGGTCCATAATACTTTTCTAATTGTAAGTATTTTAAATCTAATGAATTGATTGAATTTGTTTTTCTTGCGAACACAACCATCCTTTGAATGATCTATACTTGGATATCGATATATACCAAACCAAACAACTCAACTGCAATATTTGGAACAACAATTTCAACATACAATGCTAATATCACGATGACTATCATAAATTACATCATCATCGCGTTGTTGTTATTATTGATAATCATCTATTAATTGTTAAACATCATCAACATGTCCCTCCGTTAAATAATGCCACGAAATGGTTTTCGTTTTGTGTCTTTATCAGGATTAATTTGGAAAAGAACACAAAAAAAAAGAATCACAAACGCTCATTATTAACACTCCCAAAACAGCAAGAACAAGCACTATCGTGAACAACAGTTGACGTGAAGTTGAAATTGCCTCTTATCAGATATATTGGCTACCATCATCAAATACCAATTTTTATTCTTGTTGGAATTTTACTTATCAACAATATTGTGTATTTTAATAGCGTTCTACTTTGTACTATTTACATTCTTGTTTGTTGTAACATTTACTATCATCAAACAAGCAGATTAATTTATATTAATAATTTTGCAAGCACTTGTGGCTGAAACTAATACTTCTGTCTAGTACAGTTTTGAACGATCGTTCTATATTTTGAAACAAATGCATCACCCTCTACCTCCTCTTCACTCTGCGACCTCCTATTTACAACAACATGGTGGTCATCATCAGGCGCCACCATCTCCAAGTACACCATCCTCCTATCATCATCCCCAACATGGCTATTATAACAGCAACAGCAGTAGTAACAATTATCAGAGTGCATATCATCATTCTCCACACCATCATCACTCTTCTGCTGTTAATAGCTCAATGAATGGAGGTTCATCTTCGGTCATTTATCATTCCTCTTCATCTTCGCTCTATGGATCAGATTTGGTTTCAGGTGCATCTAGCAGCAATAACAATGCAGCATATCACCATTCTCCACACCATCTCTCACACCACCAATCAACTCCAACTTCTCACCATTCCCATTACCATCAAAACTCGTATACCAACAATAACTATCATAATGCAACCACTACCAGTTCACAGCCATCCTACAATTATGGCAATACCCAAGACCATTCATACAATTATCAAACAGGCAATAACTATTCATCTTATAATAATACTAGTGTACCAATATCTAACAGTAACAATGTTCAAACTCCTACTAGGAGAACAACCTATGAAGAAAATACTCCTGTTACAGTGATATCTTCAGATGAAGAAGACTCACAATATAAAACAATGAAAACTAGTACTAGTACACCTAATCTATCAAAATCAACACACCACTATGGTTTACAATCACCAAATTTTCAATCTACACCACCTAGTACTAATTATGCACACGATTTAAATTCTCCGTCATCATCTGCACATCAACAGCAGCAGTATCAAACTACCTATCCATCTAGTAACAATACATCCTCTTCATATTATCAACATTCAGGAGGAGGAAATACAGGTGGACCACCAGGTTCGTTGGAAGATAAGTTTTTGTCGATGAGGTCATCTATCATGGTAATACCAAATTCTTCTAGAAGATCGCCTTCACCTCCACTACCTTCACCAAGATTGGCTAATGAACATCCATCAACACCATCTTCTTCTGTTGCTAATGCAACAACACCTTCCTCTTATACCCAACCTTTGGCTACCTCCACACCACCATCAACGTATGCAGAACCATCTAAACCTGCATTTAGTGAACCTCTCAAAACAAATTCAAGGAAAGCACTGGATGAAATGATGATGAGGTTACAGAGGGAAAAGGAATCTCTTCAGCAGTTCAGAACAACATCAGATTATAGCTATCCTTCCAGTTACCCTTCCACAACTGCTACAACCTATAACGCACCTCCTACATATTCACATGATTCATATAATTATACCAATTCATCAACATATCCATCTCCTCACTATTCCAGTTACGCTTCCAAGTACGATGAGAGGTACAGAGGTAATTCATATTATCAAGATGAGTATAATACTCCAACACCTCCACATAGTTCACATTCTTATCACTCTCCATATGTTTCTGATCCATATTATAGAAATCCTAAATATCCTCCAATGTACGCACAAAGTAGTGAAACCATCTCAGATGATGCTCATAATGTGAGGTCAACATCTCCTACTAATCACATAAATGGAGCTAGTGATAAGAAGAAACATCATGTACCACCTCCAAACAATACTAGTAGTGGCAACAGGAAAAAACCACCAACAGTTACAAAGAAACCTAAACACAAAATTCCTCCACCTCCAAGTTCAACTGCAAATGTTCCTCTACCAACCCCAAATTCCAATACACCAACAGGTTCTGATAAAAAAATCAAGCTGCCACCAAAACCAAAAAGAAAAGATTCAGAACCTCTAGATAACAATGAGAAAAGTCCAAAGACTAATTTGAACCTTAGAGTTAGAACAAGCAAACAAAAGAAAAGACAGCAAGATGCTGTTAGAATGTTGAAACAGGACGATAGTGACAATGAGATTATTGAAATGGAAGATGAAAAACAAGACACATACCAACCAAAATCCACTAAAAGTGATGACGATAAATCTAAGGATGTAGAACTTGACGAAAAAGAAAATGAGATTGGTGACAACTTTGTTTTTTCACGTTCCTCCATGCTTTTACTTTCTGATGCAGCTGATATGACAACCAAATGTACCGACTATATCAATTATGAACTTGAGAAGAAGGGATTGTCTATTGAGTTAACATCTGAAGAGCAAGAAATTATTGATCTAGCAGTGTATAACATTGTTACTGAATCCAAAAAACCAAACTTTGTCAAAACTCCAGTTGCCTCAACCAGAAAACCGCACAAAAAATTCCTTAAATTTTCTGCAGACAATATTAACTCATCAATAACTGTCAATGATTCAGGAGAGTCAATCAAAAAAGGTTTATTGAAGAAAGGACCTGGACTTGATGTTTATGAAATCGTTTGTGCTGCTAAACTTGACAAAATTAATGAGGATGATATCAAGAAAGAATGCGAAGGCAATCACATGCTTGGCGAAGTAGAATATAGTGACAGTGAAGACGAACCAAAGGGTGTTAATTTGAGATCTGATAATACTGGCCTTAAATCTATTTTGGGTTTAATTGAAAATGGTGCAGCATCAACTCTAAAATCTAATGAATCTCTATTCAGTGCTAACATTGAAAAGGTTTTGGAAATGTATTCCTTAAAGAGGAAATCTATTACAAAAGACGTCAAGCTTTTTGAAAAACTTAAACCTGCAAACTTGTACACCACAACTGGTGAACCAAGAGTTGAGCCATCACCAAAAAAGAAATCTTCACCAAAACGATCAGCTCCAGAACCTAAGAAAAAGGAAGATGATCAAAAATCTAAAAAGAGAAAATTTGATGTGTTAAAGAAATATAACACCAGAAATGGAAGTAAAGATTAATTTATTGTAATATGGTGATATGATTTTCATAGGCTTGCTTCAAAATTCGAATTTCTCTCGATTCTCACCTACAAGAAAGACCAAATTTCATTCTTAAAAAAACTTATCATGCCTCCTGCAAAGAGAACATCACGGAGGTTCGAAGTTTCTTCCTCTTCAAATAAGAAAACAAGCCTTGGAAAGAATCAGAAGAAACAAGCAATTACTGCACCATCTTCTCCACCTCTCAATAGACCGAAAAGGTCCATCGAAAGAGTAAATTATGAGTTTCACAAGGGTGTTCCTTCTGATGATTCAACAGATTCAGATTATGAAGAAGAATCTGATGAATCATCAGACCACTATCCATCATCATGCACTCGGATAACTAAGTCTTCTAATACTGGTTCCAATAGTAAAAGGAAGAAGAGAAATTCTGTTACTTCCAGTGATGAAAGGGAAATTATCATTATTTCATCTAGTGATGAATCAGATCAAGAATCAAAAACTCTCACAAGTAAAAATCCAGAAGAAGAATCTGAATAAGAATTGAGGAGGAAGATTACAGTTTAGAATAAAGGGAAGTTTGATTTATTGTGTAAATATTTGCTTGTAATTTCTCTTGAGCTTATCCAAAAACGAAGAACTTTCTTTACCACATGGATTGACCGAGATACAAAATTCATTCAGTTTTTGTTCTGATGTTTCAATATTTCGTTTTGTGTCCATAATAAGGACATCACCATTTTGAAGTACATCTCCGATTCGCTTTGAAATATCCAAAGTAGAAATTCCATTATTAATTTTGTAAATGGAGAGTCTATCTTCTGGGGCAGTATTGAGATTATTATTTACATTCTTTATCTTTGCATAATCTGCCAAAATATCTAGTGTTTTACCAATTGACCACATTTTGCTTAATTTCATTGGTATTCCATTTGGTTGATTAAGTGTTAAATATACAGTTGTTTTGATGGAATCTGCATCATCTAGTGTCTTATTTTTCAATGGTACAATATATGTAGAAGGAAGAGAGGCATTACTTGAGGACGTATTACCTGTCGATGAAGATTTGACAGCTGGGATATTACTGAGCTTTGAATTATTTACATTGGTTCTTTCTTGATGAAGTTTCTTTAAAAGAGCATTTGGTTCCTTTTTCTTTTCAATTTTGATTTCCTTATGTTGATGTTTGTGAGTACATTGATGATCATCAGCATGTCTATGATCTGAACAGAATGATTTCAAACATAAGTTACAATTGACCATTTGATCCTCTTTACAATCATGAAATGCACAACAATTCTTTACACTCTCAACTTTACAACCATTTCTAATATGTCTCTCAATGACAATATTATTATCCTCATGTGGGAATCTCTTTGGCACAAGAGCCTGACACAAAGGACAGGTAGGAATGTGAGACTTTTTCAATTCCTCATCAATATTATAAACACACTGATGGGAGGCACATTCACGATGTTCCGAACAAAAATGTTTCTTACAATGAGTACAAGTGAAGGGTAAAAAGTCTTTTTGTCTACAAGTCTCCACACAACAATGTTTGCCAAGGTCAAAGAATTCAGTCATTTCTTTTTGTTTTTAAATTCCTGAAAAACAACGCTGTTTGATGTTCTATTAATACATAATTAATTTTCTCAACGTTTCCTTGTTGCCTTACAAGTTGAACAGGTAACAAACATTTAAAAATAGAATTTGTGTTCCACTTCCGAAACAACAAAAAATGATTTGTGCTAGCGCTATTACACTTCCGAAGTCAATAATTTGTGCGTGCTTGAGTTTTGCATTTGGATTGAATGAGGAGGAATTGAGAATTGTGGATGGCTTTCATATCGTCTATTGTTTACACTGAATTGTTCAATAAACATTTAAGATATTATTCCTTAAAAGGTTCAAAAAAACATTTATATTTGAAGAATTGACTTTTTCAATTCTTTCCAATTTCTTATAAATTTACCTTCTCTGCTTCTTTCATAATCCAATAACAAATTTGAAACAAAAATGAAAAGAACTTGTTTGGTAGCGCTCTTCTTCTTCCTTGGCTTATTATCTTTTGCATTGGGACAATACAATAATGCATATGGAGGTGCCTATGGATACAATGGAGGTGCTGGTAAGTGCTTTTAAGATTTTCGATTAATTGATTCAAAATCATGTAATTTTAATGAGATTAGGTTCAAACTATGGAGTGGCAGGTGGAAATTACAATCAATATGCACAAAATACTCAAGCTTATTCTAATCAAATAAGTGCAATTTCCTATAATCCATATAGTAGTTATGGTTCTTATTATAATGGACCATACAGTTATGGTAATAATTATGGTTCTGCCTATTCAATGCCTTATTATGGAGTCCCATACTATGGAGGATACTATCCATATAGATATTGGTAAATAATTCGTGATTTGAATAAATGTTGTGTGTGAATATTTTGTAAACGATTAAATTCTCAAAAAAAATGCTCAACAAGTAAAGAATAACCAATCGGATCATGCAACAAGACAAAGATAACAAGAAAGATAATCAACAACCAATTGATTTTCAAAAAATTAGAGAAAAAATTGATGAAATTCCGCAAGATGTTTTCTATCAAGTGAATGATGATATTGATGAAGATTTAATTAGGAAAAAAATTGAAAAGGACGCTGAACAAATTGCTAATCAGAAAATTAAATTAATGTTAAAGAAATTGGAGGAAATTCAATTTGATTCAATTAAAAAGTATTATAAGGAAAAACCAATTTTAGAAGAGGAAAGAAGAAGAGCAGAGTTGGAAAAACAACAAGAATTATTTTACAAACAAGAGAGAGAAAGGTTACTAAAACAACAAGAGGAAGAGGAAAAGAAAAAAAATGAAGAGTTGAAGATAAAAAAGGAGAAGGATTTTATGCATTACAAGAATTATATTGATAATCTTCATGATGAAATTGGCAGGTTAACAAGTAATATTATTGAAAATCCAACAGCTCCTTCGCTGATTGACCTGTATGATAAAAAGAATGATCACCCCTTTACTGCCCAAATACTGCATCAATTTGAAATGGAAGGAATTATTGAAAATCCTACACTCAAACAAGAGCAGGATGATGATAGTATAATCAACTCTAGATTTGCTGAACAAAAAAGAAGAGAGGCAATGTTATTGAACCATTCTGAAGAAACTGCCCAAAAGAAGGAAGAAAGAGAAATTGATCTTAATCCTCTCAAGCAGACTTTGTAAGTTTTCAATTTTACAAATTTAATATTGAAAATTATTTCAGAAGCAAGTATGGCATTAAGGGTTTGAACGAATATTTAGATAAGACAATTGAAGAGAAAACCAGAGCGTTCAAATTAGCAGAAGAAGAAATGCGAATGAATGAACTTCTTTTCATATTGAACATGTTGAAGGGTGGAAAAAAATTGAATAAGAATTGGATTTCACAAGTTTCTTCAAATAGTGAAACATGGATAGAATTCTTTTCTAAAAATTATCAATCCAAAGAGGAGAAATTAATTTCTACAAATCTAGTGCCAGAACAAGATCAAACGATATTGAGTCAGGAGCAACTAGCGTCCCAAAAAGAAAAAAGAATGTACCAATTCAATAACCCCCTATTCACAGAGGAGAGCGTGACTAATTTTGTTAGGGCTTCAAAATTATAAAGGAAAGTGTATTAAGAAAACCATACCATTGATGCATCAATTATCTCAATATGAAGGGAGATAGTTCAGTGGTAGAACATGGGATTGTGGTTCCTAAGATCAGGGTTCGATTCCCTGTCTTCCTACACCTTTTTAACAGCGTAATTTTGAATATGGTTGGTAAATAAGATTTGCTTGAATACTTAGTTGCGTCTAGACTACATTAACCACAAATTGTTTTTATTGGTCCAAAATCAAGTTTGACTAATCTTTATAATAAATTCACAGATACTGTAACTCATTCCTATCTTGATTCTTCAGAATTAGTAAATATAGGTTCTCTCTTATTGTACTTTATATTAATTAGATTGTAAAATGAGATAAAACAATTTTGCCAATTTTCTTTCTTCATTGACTAGGATTACTCGTCTGTTACGTTATTAATAAAATTTAGACCAATAACGGTTCCAAACTAATTAACTATCTGAATACATGTTCCTTTTATCTGCATAGACCTATAGCCAATGAATATATCAAACAACTAACAAACGAAGACCTTAACATCTCCATTCTAATCCAACTCAAATTGTTGAATGCTTCAAAAAAGAACAACTTGAAAAGATAACAGTAACAAAACAACTACTTGATGTTTAACCTTTTCATTGTAAAGTCTTTCATCAAACAACAAATAGATGTGAAAGTTGATAATCAACAATCAATACCTCACTTTTTTTTAAAATTCTTTAGTGGTGATTTTTTAAAATATCCAAAAATGAACCCGATTAACCGCTTGTGGCCTCTATCAAATTTTTTAGGCGCCATCTCGAACAAATAAGTCACTGACAAAGGAGGTTGTGCCATCAAATTCGCCTTATAAAGCTCTTATTAAGTTTGTTAGAATTTGTTGAGGTAAAATTTGATTCTTTAGTTTGATCCAAGAAGCTTGTTGAAGTACGTCCCCGTTGTTGTAATTCACTATAAAACGCTACTGGTTAGCTTCTAAAAAAAAGCACACAACAACAACAAATATAAACCTTAACAATGCACAACAACTCTATTCACGAATATTTCCACGGTGTTCAATTGGCCGAATTGATTCCTGCTGGTCAAAAGCTCGTCGTCTTGAAGGAAGATGAAACCCTCCAAGAAGTTGTTAATCAATTGTCTACCCACCATCTCTTGGCTGCTCCCGTTGTTGATAAGCAAGGAAAGTTGGTCGGTATGCTCTCAATGCTCGACATTGTTCAATTCATTGTTGCTTCCTCACCAGAAAATGTTGATTTCAAGAATTGGCAAGAACTCGAAATCTCAGGAAGATGTATTAACTTGCAAACTGTTAAGCACGTTATGGGATTCTCTGCTAGAGATCAATACATGCCATTGAAGAGCAATCTCCCAGCCACTATGGCTATTGAATTGTTCGCCAAGGGTGTCCACAGAGCTATTGTAGAAGAAGACGTCACCACTGATAAATATATTGGTACTTTGTCTCAAACTGATATCCTCAAGAGATTGGCTGAACACCTCCACATGGGTAAGATGAAGCAATTGGGTGAACAATTGGTTAAGGATTTAGGTTTGGGTTTGGCTAAGCCAGTTACCATTGACGGAAGTGAAAATGTTTTGCACGCCATGAAGGAATTGGCTAAGGCTAATGTTTCTGCTCTCCCAGTTGTTGATCACCACGGTCACTTAGTTGGTAACTTCTCTGCTTCCGATTTGAGAGGTTTCTACTTGGACAGAATTCCACACTTTGAACTTACCACTCGTACCTTCTTGGAAAAGTACTCACCAAAGTCTTTGGTTCCATTCTTTGTTGAATTGGATGGTTTGAAGTTTGTTGATTTGGTCAAGAAGTTGACTCACCCAGAAATTCATGATGTTATCCACTCTCAAACTGTTAAGGTTGACCATTCCATGCACAGAGTTTGGGTTGTTTCTGATGAAAGAAAGGTTGTTGGTGTTATCACTCTCACTGATATCATGAAGGTTATTATTGACCATGTTGAAATGGACTAAATTAATTATTCTAACTTATTGGTGGAATTTATTTTACTAAATTATCGAGAAATTTTACCTTAATAAAAATAAAAAAAATTCATAAAATAGTAATTTGGAACAAATTTTGCAGAGCTGGTTGATACAAGTTTTTGATTTGACATTTAATGTACTAACTGTATTTTAAATTTCACAATTCCATCATAATCAATATTGACCAGTTTGATTCTCAATTTCTTTTCTCCAATTCTATGATAGAAAATTCTATCCTCAAACAATTCTACAGATGGACTAATTTCTCCAAATAATTGAAGAACTCTATTGGATGCATCCTTTCTTACTTGTATGTCAGCTTCAATGCTTTCAAACACCTGATCACATCCGGCAGCCAATACTTCTAAAGTAACATTTTTTAGATGAGGAATACCTTCGAATAGTTGTGTGAGAGTAAGCTCTTCTAATTCAGAGTCAAGAAGGTACAAAGTTTCAAGATTTGGAAACTTTTTGTTTGCCAATTCAACAAATCCTTGCTCAACATTTTCATCATTGTCCCGTTCTTCCTCTTCTTGATGTTCCTCGTCCTCAGCTTCATTCTTAATGTAGCCAAATCTTGCCCATGTTAATCCTTTAAGTTTAGGGAATAATTCTTTTAAAACTCCATCATCATCACAGCCACTAAACTCATCAAAATTGAAATCAAACTTTTTAAGTTTTGTCAACTTGTCAAGATCTAATAAGTGTTCACCATAAGGTAACCCGTCAAATAGGTTAAGAGACTCAAGGCTATGTAGTTGATTAGTAATAATTGGAAGATTATCTGATTCATTCAAATAACGCTCTCCAAAAGTGAGGTCACTAAGTTTTTTACAATGTTCTACAAGTCCTAAAAACACAGCATTTTCATATGCCATGCAATATCCCATTTTCAACTTTCTCAAATTTGGTGCATGCTTGAATAAACTCACTAGTGTAGTAGAACTAAATGATTCATTTCCACTAACAACATCAAAATATTCCAAATTTTCTAGAATAGGGAAAGAATCTCCAATTTCATATTCGCCTAAATCAATTCTAAGTTTCTTTAATTTGGGCATGCCAGTAAAAATACAATCTAAAATCTTGTTTGGAAATAGACTACCAAAGATTAATATTTCCAATTCTTTCAATCTAGAGATCCATTCAGTAAAAACATCCAATTGTTCTTCATCCCTTAAAAAAACAATAAATGAATTTGCCAATCTCAATTCTTTCAACCCATCAAAAACACCAGAACTAATACATCTCTTGAAAAATTCACTTGTTAATTCGAAACTCAATGACTCATTATATTCATCAATAGAGCCCAAATGCAAAACTTTACATCCATTCTTTGGTGAAACATTGATAATGTAATCGAGCAATCTATTCAAATAATCCCTATCGAACTTTCTAATTTTGAGAAAGGAACTTGTAGGATACCCATCTTTCACTGCAATGCTAACTCTTTCATAAACTAAACTCTTTCCTTCACCACCTCCCAAAATATTGTAAAACATTTTACAAACTGGCATTACATTTGGCAGCAATTCCCTAGTTGCTTCAAGATATGTAAACACATGAGCCCAAACATCAGAAACAATCCTTCCAACAGGTTCATGATTAGATTTCAACATGATCAACGATTCCGACTTGTAAGTTTTGCTGATCTTGTTATTTTCTTCAATAGTTTCAAGTTGTCGTTTCATTTTTTTTGGGTTTGTGTTTTCAAAATAATTTTGGCGCCAAACAATAAAACTAACTCCGACGGTAAACTGATTTTAACGTGTTACCTCTTGGAGTAATCCAATTATTCAATGATTTTCAAAGAACATAACACTTGAAAGTGTTGAAATTGGAATCAAATGGCTCATCATACAACTGTGTTATTGTAAAGTATTACCACACAAAGAAGCTCTTCAATTTTGATATTTAATTTTTAATCAAAAAAATGTCTCGTAGCTGCCACACACGTCTCGCCCACAAACAAATGCTCAACGATTTGATCGACGATATAAAAAACGTTTTCGAAAGTGATTTAATTGTACAAGTTAGCGAAGCTCTTGGAGGTGCTCTATTTTTCTATCTCGATAAAAAGAATTCTAAATTTCACCTCTCACTATCCTATTCCTTCTCTGGTATGCAAAAATTTCATGTCTTTTCCTTCCAAGTAATTCACAAAAATGTACAGGATAGACAATTAGTAATTTCTATTCATTTACAAAAAGGAAAAAATATTTCAGAGCAGTCAACTCTGTTTATTGGAAGAGGAGAAAAGAATTCTAAAAAGATTTATCTAGTTAAGATTGAACCTTCTTTTAGTAGTTTGTCGTTGGCTAAATTGAATAAGAAACTTTTCACACCATTCGGAAGAAAGAGGAAATTGGATGCTTTTGATAATGTGAAAGCTAAATTCCTAATGATTAACATGAATCTTTTTCTTGTGGAGGAGGAAAATCATGCTATACAGGAGGAATGCACATATATTATGAATAATCACTGGGGATACTGTGGTCTAAATGATTTATATTCATATTCAAGTCTACAATTCCAATATTGTGTTTTTAATAGAGAAAATTACTATGTGAAAGGTAGTGTCACTAAATCTGTAGATGGTCATAAGAGATTTGGTTTTAACAAAATACCTTCCACAGCAAAATGTGATCGATGGAGAAGATTGGTAAAGCCAGAGAATGATTCGGAAACTAGATGGACTAAATCTGTTGGATTTTATTGCGAATGAATTTTCATTTCAATTTCTCTTGAGAAATATGTGGCAGAAGTTACATAAAGATTGTCCTTATAATAAAAATCGAGTGGACAGAGAGAAGTGCCACACTTTGTGGTTAATGTAGTCTTGATCTTATTTACCAAGCTGTCAAAAAAGGTGTAGGAAGACAGGGAATCGAACCCTGATCTTAGGAACCACAATCCCATGTTCTACCACTGAACTATCTCCCTTCATGTTATAGAGAATCCAAGCCAAGCATTGATGATAATAAAATAATGATTAAAAATAGATTCGAAAAAAATTATTCATACAAGACGAAGATCACATACAAAAAATTACCGTCATCAAGATAATATTTAGGGCTGAATAATTATTAACTTAAATTTTAACAATGCCCTATAACACTAGACATCATTCTACTCCACGTGGATCATATTCCAAATTTTTTGATGATGCTGAAGAGGAAGAAGAAGAAGAAGAAGAAGCCCAAACTAGAAAGGTAGGTTTTATACAATTACTCTTTGACCATATATCAAACATATCAATAGCCTCCGACAAGGAGAACAAGTACAAGGTCAAGTCATAGAAATTCATCAAGTGATAGTGAGGAAATAGATGATCTGACATCTAAACGATCAACAAGACAAAATAAACCAAGACATAACAGAATAGAACAGGAAGAACCTGAGGATGAGTATTCCGAAAGTATTGCTTCTTCAAGACCAAAAAGAACACCAAAAAAAACAACATATACTGATTTTTATACGGAAGACTATGATGAAAATTCGGATAAGGAAACTCCAAAATCATCAAGGAAAAAAGCACCAGCAAGAAGAACAACTGGCACTAAAGTACAAATTAAAAGGGAATTAATTGAAGCACATACTAGTGAAATCCCGAATCCAACAATTGTACAACAGCCATCCGAACAAGTTGAAACATCAGTAATAACTTCTGGTGTTATTGATGACGTATTTAAAGATATTATTCCAAATAATCAACCTATCACTACTGAACAAAACAGTATACCAACTATGGAATTTCCAACTAGTACCGTACCACCAAGTAATATGGAATTTGATACATCACTCAACAGAAGCCAAAGTGCTATTTCAGAGCAAAGTGATGATCATAAAGGCAAAAAAAGAAAAAAGAATGAGGAGGATGAGGATTTCGTTATGGATGATGATGAACCAGAGGAGGAAGAAGCCATTGAAGTATCTGATGAAGCTTTATCAGATGCTATTTCTTCCAATGATGAATTAGAAATGAGACCAACAAGAAGTAGAAAAAAGCCAAAATTTATTGTGGATGATGATGAGGAATTGGAAGAAACAGAAACACCAAAAGAGAATGGAAAGGATATTAAAAAGAGATTAAGGCCAAGAACCCAAGCTCAACTTAATCCTTATAGCCACCCTATTCCAAATATTGACAATATTGAAATTCCATCAAAGAGTACTATGATAAAGGAACAACAAGAACTCTTGGCACCTTTAGATTCCTTAACATTCCAATTTTCAGAGTCTGAATCAGAATCTGACAACGATGAAACAGGTTTGGTCAATCCAGCATTTGGTAAGAAAGGAGAATATGATCACATTAAGCCAATCAATATTGAACAACTTAAAAAGAAACCATCTGCTGATATTGATCCAGTTTTTTCCAAACCTGTTGGATTTGACATGGTTGGTGGTCTTCATAAGCACATTAATGCATTGAAAGAAATGGTAGTATTACCCCTTTTATATCCAGAAGTATTTAACAAATTTGATATTACTCCTCCAAGAGGTGTCATATTTTATGGTCCACCTGGTACGGTAAGTTTTGAAATCAGATATATTGTAATATTAACAACTAATTTTAGGGTAAAACACTTGTTGCTAGAGCTCTTGCTAGCACCTGTGGTACTGGAACAGATGGAAACAAACCTATTGCCTTCTTTATGCGTAAAGGTGCTGATATCCTCAGTAAATGGGTTGGTGAAGCTGAAAAACAATTAAGACTTTTGTTTGATGAAGCAAAGAGACTTCAACCTTCCATTATTTTCTTTGATGAAATCGATGGTTTAGCACCAGTAAGATCATCAAAACAAGATTACATTCACAGCTCAATTGTATCAACTCTTCTTGCACTTATGGATGGTTTAGATAGTAGAGGTCAAGTCGTGGTAATCGGAGCCACTAATAGAATAGACTCTATTGATCCAGCTCTTAGAAGACCAGGAAGATTTGACAGAGAGTTACTGTTTACTCTTCCTTCTAAAAAAGCAAGAAAAGAAATTTTACAAATTCATACTAAGAATTGGGTACCTCAAATACCAGACGATCTGAAAAATTACATTTCTCTAAAATCTGTTGGATATTGTGGAGCTGACATTAAAGCACTCTGTGCTGAATCTGCTCTTAACGCTCTTAAAAGATCCTACCCACAAGTTTATACCAGTCAATCAAGATTAGTTCTTGAGCTTGATACAGTAGAAGTTACGAAGGTAGATTTCCTAAGAGCAATGAAATCAATAGTACCAGCATCACATAGAAATGCCGTAATTCATGCATCTCCTCTTCCAACTCAACTTGCTCCTTGCCTAAGCCAAAAATTAGAAATGGTTTTGAGAATATGTACAGATGCCTTCCCATTATGTATCAAAACCCTAGAGGATAAAGTTGATAATGAAGACCTCGTAATAGAAACTGGTCCAATTTTGGATGATTTTGAAGGAGTAGATGAAAAAACATTTGAAAGCAATTCAAACGATTTCTTTATCAATCCTCCAACATTCAGACCTTGGGTCTTGATTCACGGACAAAAAGGAATGGGTCAAAATCTTATTGCAAGTGCAGTTTTGTATAGTTTAGAAGAGTTCCCATTGTTCTCCCTAAGATATGAAAACCTTATTTCGAATACCTCATCTAGGAGCGAAATTGAAGCAATTATTAATATTATTGCCGACTCTAGAAAGAATTCACCATCTATCCTTTGGCTTCCTAATCTTGATGAGTGGTTTGAAAAGAGTACAGATTTAATGAAATCTACTTTGATTTCACTCCTCAATGAGATACCCTCCTCTGTATATGTGTTCGTCCTTGCTACTTGTAACTACTCTTCTGAAGAATTACCACAAGAATTCACTGAATTATTTGCTGATTATAGATTTGAAGTTAGCTCACCATCCAAAGACGAAAGAGTTGAAATGTTCAAACCTATTCTTGCTGATATTGTTAGATCTCCACTTAAGAAAACAAAGGTTAAGAAAGTTTATCCAACTTTACGTTTGGCTCCTCCAAAAGAACAAAAATCCTCAGAAATCGAGCCAAGCAAAGAAAAGAAATTGCAAAAGCAAGAGAAAGTCTATCTGAAAGACTTGAGAAGTGCACTTCGTGAAATTATAACTAGAATTATGGCAAATAAGGTATATACAGTATTTTTGAAACCTTCAAATGAGGAGCAAAGAAAGTTAATTCCTGATTCATCCAATGAGGAAGATGTTAAAATTTATCTAGTTGATATTTTATTTAAATTGGAAGCTAAGAAGTATAATACAGTTAAAGAATTCGCAAAAGACATTGAAAAGATTGTTAGAAACGCAGAATCCTACATAAAACAACCAGCTAAGTATATTGATAGACTTACAGTGAAGAGTAAGGGTAATGCTCTTTATGACTCTGTAAGACAAGCAATCAAATTACAAATTTCAGAAGAATTAGCCAGAAAATGTAAACATATTGCCAAGAGAAGGATGTTACACGCACCTCAACATCAAGATTCAGATGAGGGAACAGAAGAGGTAACAGAAGTTGGACCAGGAACAAAGGAAAAAGATCCAATAATTATTGATGAACAAATGACAGATGCCCCAGCAGAAGGAGGAGAACCAAATGACAAACAAATGGATATTAGTGATCCAGTAGTATCTACTATTGAAACAACACCAGTTACCACCACTACTACTGACTCTAATCCTTCAACTAGTAATAGCATTGAGAATACATGTGTGCTCACAACAACAGCACCACCTGTTGCCGAGTATCACACTCCTGAAGCAGAACAACAGACTATTGCTCTACTTCCTCCTATTGCAACATCATCAGTAGCACTTGAAATCCCAATTATTGTTGAGGAAGAAGTAGAACAACCAGAAGTACCAGTTTGTGTCGACCACGATCGTATGAATAATTGGTTTGACAACCTTATCGCTCTCACTGAAAGTACCTCTCTAGAGGCACTCGACAAGGTCTTCAGTGTAGTATACAAGAGCATCTATCGATACAGATTTACAGCTGATAGAAACCCATTAATGGAAGAACTTGAACGTTATGGCCGAACATTTGAAAAAAAATAAAACACCCTTAACGACCACTTTACCTCTCCCCTATTAATTTTACTGTAAATTTAAAATTTTGAGAGAGAAATAGAGAACATCAACAACAACTTGCTCGGAATAGATTATCATCATCATAGATACTTAATCTGCTTGGGAAATGGCTGTAACAGGAAAACCATCAAGCAGCTCTTCACGGAGGACTAATAGTGCACCTAAACCAACATCAATATTAAGCAGGAAGGATGTTGAAATTAATAGTAAATACAAAAGAGAACCAACTTTTGTAGATTTGTATCATCAACAAGGTATGTTTCTCCAAGTCCGAAAATAAGATCTTATACTTTCTCAAATAGCAAGAGATGCAAAGCTCTACTATCATCAACACGGAAATAGAAATGTTCAGCTGGACTATACGCCCAATAATAGTTTTGTTGAAAAAAGGGAACCTCACTTTGTGGATTACACAAAAAAGGGACAATATTTCAATAGATTATCGACATTAATTAATGATCAACCATCCTCTTTAGATTATACTCCAAATTATTCATATCTTCATGAACGAGTAAAGGGAGGTATAAATATGAGAAAGTCAACAGATAGAGAAACTCATTTTCATAATATTAATGAAGGGAAGAAACAACAAACAAAAGCAGTAGCATATGTAACACCAAAATCATCCTTAATAGACGATCAACAAAATAAGTTTGTTAAAAGATCTACAAATATTTATCAAGGAAAAGAATCTCATCCACCTGATTTTTTCAGAACTACCTCAAGAAAAGAAGAAAAGAAGCCAGACACTTCGAACACTAATTATACGCCGTCATATTCTTTAACAACAAGCAGAACAACCCACTATTACGATTTTGAAAAGACAACAGACAGAGAAAAAGCAAAGACATCATGGATACCTTCAAGGTCTCAATTGGGTAAACATTACGATGTTGCTTATGATGTTGTTGAAATACCTTCCAAAAACTATGTAAATATGAAACGATCAGCTGGTAGAACTGCTCCTAAAAAAGGAGTAACAGTGGATTTATCTTATACTCCTATTCACAAATTAACAGAGAAGAATTTGGGATGGTCAACTGATTTATTCTTATCTACTGGAAGGGCTGATGATGTAAAAGCGATAACACAGAGTGCAGATAACTTGGTAAGAAGAGTAAGAGGAGAATTAAGAAAATTTAATAATTCGGAATAAACTCATTTAATTCTTTCGTTTATAGAAGTAGAGGTAGCCCATATCGAAAGGTGTGTTTTCACTTTGTAAAACTTTGCTATCATTAAACAAAACCCATCTCTTTTCACCATTTCCAACATCCTTCTTGAGATGGCAAACATAGTGACCACATGAAGTATTTGAACCCATATGACTAATGAAACCAACAAGTTCATACTTTCCACTTCCATCCAAATACTCTTCTTCTTTCTTTTCAGCTGGTTTTTCATTAGAAGCTTCATTAAGATAACTGTCCATATCATCCATATGACTGAAGAGCCATTCAGCAGCTCTTTCAATATTGTTTTGAGTTTGCTTTAAAGCAACAACAGCATGAGTGGAAGGGAAACCAAGATTAGCTAGTGATTCAATGGCATCAGCAGAAGGAGCATTTCCTGATGAGCTCTTTTCTTGTTTAGCTTCAGGAAGTGGATTATCAATTTCAGGATCATCACAATGCTCAAATACCCATTCCATAGCCTCATTGACACCCTTATTGTTGGATTTCCAAGCACCTCTCTTAGCTCTATTTTCTGGAATTCCCATTTCTACCAAAGATTGAACGATTTGCATATCAACAAAAATGGATTCTGTCTTCTTTTCATCACTTGGAAGTTCTTGTTCATTTGGTTTAAGTCCAGTTCCTCTGAGATGAGTAATATCAATCTCTTCAGCATCAGTAATAAATACATCCAATTTCTTTGGAACCCATCCATCTAAAATAAACTTTCTTACTTGAACAGCCAAATATTGTGGGAAAGTTGCAAGACTAGTTTGTTTCAAGCCAATAGTATTTCTTCCAAGGGCAGAGCTATAGAAATGATCAACAGGTTCTGTCTCAGCAAAGGCTTCAATACACTTAGACATTGGAATCATTGGTCTAATTTGTTGTTTCTTTTCAGTACTTGTACTCAAAGGCTTGCTGTTTATATTCTCAGCCAATTTGAGTTCTTTTTCTATTCTTTCTCTTTCCTTCTCTTGTTTACAGAACTCTTCATATTCTGCCTTATTGGTTGCTTCAGAAAGTGGAACTGGGAGTGAAATCAAATTATCCTTTCTGTAAGTATATTTAACCTTAGATGTTTCTGAGCATTCAATTCTTTCTTCCACATTGTAATTGAAAATACTATTTACAGAGTCTGTACAGTTAATTCTCTTGTCTTCTCTTTCGATTAATTGGAGTAAGTGTTGGTAAAATTCTACAGCATCTTGTTGTCTCATAGTGCTGAACTCTGGATGGCCCTTTCCAACAACATTCTTGAATGATCTTGGTGGAATACCTTCTTGGAATGAATCGACGTGCTCTTCTGACTTGGAATAATCTCCAGAAAGTAATCCATTAGCGAGTTTTGCCATTTGAAGAGAGAAAGTATCCAATGAACTAGATCCTGTATAACAAGACAATTCCTTATCGTGATATCTTTCTTGAACTTCTGGGAATGAGAAAAGAGTTTGCATGACACTAGCCAAATAGCAAGAATTACCAATGTTCTTCAAACCAGTAAAACCTGGCCCATACATTGGTTGCAAATGCTTATCAGATTCTTGAATTCTAGTAAAATCAAAGTTCAAATTTTGGTCCAATTCCATTTCAGCCATAGTTTTAGTTGTTTTCTTCATTTCTCTGATATTAATTCCAAAATATTCCAAATGTTCAACAAGCTTGGAATCCTTAACCATCTTATCTTCAGCATATGAATATACGTCAGCCTTTGGTTCTCCGTTATCATCCAATTGAATAGTTCCCAATTTGACACAAACAGGGAATCCAGTCTTTTGATAATGTTCAACAGCATGATTATTACCACCAGTACCATCCCAGAATTTTCTACCACATCCAATATGACCGTCAGAAAGATTCAACCAAAGATTATCTGTGATATCACACTCAGCACACTTCCATCCATGAGCTGGGACTTTAATATTTCCAATTTGTTTAAGCTCCATAGTATGTTTAGATTCAGTTAACTCTTCACCTTCCCATTTGAGAACTTCTTGTTTACGTTCTGCAGATTGGTTTTCCAAAATACCTTTAATTGAAAGTTTAACTTTCTCAGGTAAATCATTATTTGGTAATGGTATTACAACATTATTTGGTTCTAATAATACAAGTGACAACAATTCATCATAAAGTTTTTCGTCATTTTCTTCCTCTTCTTTGATTTGGAATCCTCCTTCAACACCAATAGCCATTTTGGTTGGTTGATCTTCAGATTTTTCTTCAATAGGCTTTTCCTTCTTGATCTTTTTAATATTCAAGAATACAGTATTACCAGTTAATTGATGATGTCTTCTTGTGTACTTTGGAGAGAAAGCCAAGAATGTATTCAAACAAACATTGATTCCTCCTTCCGATTTCTAATGATCAAACCAATAAAAGTTACTTTTATACACAAGTTTAAAAACAAATATACTTACTGGTGAATCAAAAGAAAGACAACATTCTTCCTTATGAATTGGAGTATGACTAGTTGGAATATTGATCCTGCTAAAATCAAACTTTAAAGAAGAAACATCAACGTGGGATTGAGACATTTTTTTTGTTCTAAATTTAATTTTATGGTTCCTCTCACTTGTAATGATCAGTCTTTGTTATCCAGATGTTCAATTGCTATTTGTAAGAAGTTCTTGTTTTTCGGGTTCAACATCACACAAGAAGGCTTTTTTTCATCATCACTTGCATCAAATATAAACATAAATAAATTTTAATTAATTTTATTAAAAAAATGAGTACACTTTATCAACAGGTACCAAAATATATTATTCAAGATGAATTGACGAATATTGTTCAGAAGAGAGAGGAAAAATATATTGGAGGGAAAATTGGGAACGATGTTATTCCAAGACACTTGACAATATGTAATCAATCTAGAGAATGTATTTATTTTTCTGAGCAATCGGAAACACTTTATTATATTGATGCTCGTCAATCAACTATGAAAAATATTAAACATGCTAAAATACAAAAGGTAATTAATTTGGAATGGGAATTTATTAATAATAATTAAATAGATCCTAAAGACTGATTTGATTTTAAGAAATATTAAACAAATTAGTTATAATAGCAGTGGAAATAGATTATTAGTAATTAGTGACTTTGATATTAATGTTATTTCTATTCCAGAATATAAATCTGGTGATTCCGAATCGGTTAACACAACAATAGAATTTTCTCTTTCTTTATTAGAACACTCTAGTCAAAATGTAAAAGTTTCTTGGCATCCACTCAGTAATGATCATATTGTTGCTCTTGATAGTGATTCAATTTTAAGAATTATTCAAGTTAGTTCTGGTAAAATTGAAGAAATACCTCTCTTAGAAAAGACAAAAGATTCTGTTGCATCATTTTCATTTGGATCTAAGAAATTATGGGAACGTTTTACCATTTACCTTACAACAACGACACAAGCATTATTTGCTCTATGCCCAATTATTCCAAGTGGATGTGTTGTTTCGGAAAAATTCTTAGCTGATATTGTTAACAGTACCTATAGTTTTGAAATGGAATCGGTCAAACATTTTTTTAGTGGAATTATTTCAAATGTATCTGATGATGAAGAGAATAGAGAAGTAACCTTAAAAACATCCACAAAGGAAAATCATGCATTCAAAAACAGGATAATTCCAATCCACAATAAGAAAGTATCGAATTTAGATATAGCAGATATGATTACAATTAATCAAAATTCCAATTTACCATCATGTCTAGTAACTGTAAACACAAGTGGAGTTATTCATCTTTTTGTAATTACTGACAATATTAGACCTGTATGGAAAAAAAAGTCATTCGATGTAAACGTATCACCACAAGTTATTGAAGCTAGTTGTATACAAGAGGTTTTAACAGGAGATAAAATGAATAGCTCACTGCCTCCTTATTTAACTTTACATCCATTATCTATTGAGACAGTTTATTGCGTTCATGAAAGAGGTGCTAATGAAATTACTTTCCCATTTATTTCTACTATGTTTACAGAAAAAATTGCTGCTATCCAATTTGAGAAAACCGTCTCTTGCCCTTTATTTATTTCTACTGAACTGTATGTACAATTTTATCATATTTCAACTTATTATTGTTTAGTGTTGAGCCTCCTAAAGCCTTTGATATTTTACACGACATTTTATATGGTACCACAATCTTCTATATTGAGAATAAGAACCAACGTGTGTTAATTTCCTCTGCAAATATTCCTGTTATATATGACAATGAAGAAAGTTGTACTTCAGTCTATAATTCTGATTTCTCCAATGCACTTGATAATATTGTCAACAATCTTCACAAACCAGTCCAAATTAATAAGGGTTGGAATAAGCTTGAACTTCCATTTATTCAAATTTCTGAAAATACAGCTGTTGCTGACGAACTCATCAGCTTTACCCTCCAAAAGTTGAAAAAGATGGCAGAAACTCAGAATAGACATCAACAATCACTCGAAAAGTTGACTGTGATGGATACTCAAATGAGACAAACTCAGAATAATATCGATGACAAATGTAAGAAATTATATGACAAACACAAAGAATTGCATGATAGAATCAAAAGAATCTATGAGCTTGTTTTCGTAAGAGAGCTCAATAAGGAAGAAAAACAATTTATCAAGGATATTAGAGAAAAAGATAAGATTATCAGTGCTTACAAACAAAAGTTAGAAAACACTAGACAAGTTTTAGAAAATTATAAGGATAAACCAATCAATACCAACCAAGAAAGCAATAACTACACTCCTGAAATAATGGAAAAGATTACCACTTATATGGATAAGACATCAAGGATAATTGAGGCTACAAGAGAAGAATTACTTTCAATAAAGCAAAAATAAGTTATTCATTTTTCTTTTGCAGAATTGTGTCACCTAAACGAACTTTTTGTCCTTTGTGAAGATTGAATTCTAAGCGATCTTCTTCATTGCTTTCAAAAATGAGGATAATGGTTGAACCAAGTTTGAAATAACCTAATTCTTCACCCTTCTCTATCGAAAGACCTCCTTGAACATAATTTCTTGACAAAACAACAACTTCTTCACCTTGTTCTGGATCCTTGATGTGCTCTTCCTTTGTCTTCTTATCTACAAGTTCAACCTTTTCAGTTTGAGTTGGTTGGGCTGGTTGAGATGGTTTGGTCTTCTTCTTTCTTGGTCTCTTTACATTGGTTCTCAAAGAATTATCAAAGTTTACAACACATGACCCCACATTCAAAGCACCAACAATAACATAATGCATGTTACCATAATCCCATTTACCATTAAGAACAACTCTTTCATTTTGTGTGTACAAATTAGGATACTTGTTCAAATAGAGAGGCATGACAGGATAAAGTTTACCATAAATATGTTTTCTTGACTCTACAGTCATATCACAAGGGCTGTGGAATCTGTGATAATCACCAGGAGCCAAATATAATACACAATAATGTAATTGTTTCTTTTGCTTTGTGTTTTGATTGTTGTTCGATACAGCAGCTTGATCATGTTCCGAATATTCTTCTCCAATAGTAATTTCTTCATCTTGTTGTGGTTGATATCCATTACGCTTTGAAAATACAGAAAAGTGATTGTTAAATGTAATGTTTTGTGACTTTTCCTTTTGTAATAATTGTTGCATTGAATAAGTTACACCTTTAACTTGTGGAAGGTAAATATGTTCATAGGTTTCATCCAATTGGTCAAGTTCAACAGATAATGTACCAAATCTTGCAACTGTACCATCGACAGGAGAAACCATTAGTGATCTTTGATATTCACGTTCAATATCATTCAAGTCAGCATTTTCATCGAGATGGATCTTTCTCAGAATCTTTCTCTTGTGTTGAACACTGAGTGAAGGTCTTGTTGTTGGTTTTAATTTTCTTGAGAAAAAGTCTTGAAGACTGGCATATTCTTCTAACGGCTTTTCAATCTCTTCCATATTTACATTATAAAACCAACCATAGGCATTATATACCAATGGTCTAAGTATTTCTGGACGAAGTTCTGTGCTTCCGATATTACCCCAACATCTTGATATAAAGTTTGTTGGAATAGCCTTTGATAATAATTGTAAAAAGGTTTGCTTTTCTGGTTGTTGGTGTAATTGTTTTTGTTCCTCCAAGTCTACTAAAAAGTCATCATTGATATCGGTCATGTCAAGATAATTAAAGAAGGATCCTAGTATTAGTAGTATGGTGGATGTTGTTGCGGCACCCAACAAGAAATATTTGAAGAATTTTTTTATGTAACCTTTTTTCTTCTTCTTTGGAGGTTCTTGGTTGTTCGATGAGTTATTATTACCACCCCTGTTATTGGTGCTGCTACTGGATGATGATTTTTCATCACCTGTTGTTGTTGTAGTGCTAGTAGTAGAAGTTGTAGAAGATGGATTGATTCCTGTGGAAGTATTGTTATTATTAGAGGTAGACATGACAGGAATTGAATGATGATATAATCTTTTAGAATTAATAGAAATCATCGGATTATTTAAATTCATAGATGACACTGAATGATTTAGACTTGTTGAAAAACATCTCCAACTTTGATTTAAATTACTAGTGTTATTATTAATAATAGAATTAGAAGCAGTAAAACCAGATGAAATGATATTACTACCAACAATATTGACAATAGGATTACTCGAGGAATTTGATGAATTGATGAAGGAAGCCGAGTGCAAGCTCTTCTTGATAAGTTGAGCCTTCTTTAATGCAAAACACTGCTTCATTTTTTATGTCAACACTTTTCACAATGCCCACCAACACATTCAATCGATTGGATAACACATTGAAATAAGATTAAAAAAAATAATAAGGATAATAAATTATTTAAAAGAAATCATCCAAATCTTTAGATTCTTCAACTTCGTCACCACCATCTCCGAAAAAGTCATCATTATAGTTGCTATGGGCTTTCTTCTTATTATTACTGGAGAAGAGTGAATCATACGATTTGGCTTCAGCTTCCTTCTTTCTTCTTTCTAATTCTTCCTTTTCCTTCTTTGCTCTTTCTTTTGATTCACGTTTTTGCATTTCTCTGAAATTCTTGTCTCTTTGCATCTTTTCCTTTTCAAAATCTACTTGTTTTTCAACTTGAGTCTTGTTTAATCTGTTACAGATTTCCTTATTCTTTTGAATGACAACGTGACGAACAGCCTTTCTGTCAAAGAATCCAACTTCACCAGTGTCCATGTCACCTGTTTTTTTAAGATTTGAAGCCATTGTATAAACTACTTTGACTTGTGGTTCCTTTTTACCTTGAATTGAATTGTATTTTGTAAGTTGAGACAAGTCTTCAATAACTTCCTTCGGAATATCGTTGATTGTCTGTCCTGTATGTAAACGTAAATAAACGTGAGCAGAACTGAATCCGTCAACGTGGAACCAGACATCTTCTGGGAATGAATACTTGATGAGATCTTCATTTTCAAACTTGTCTCTACCCATGTAAACTACATAGGAAGGATCAATACAGGTAAAGTAAAAGACCATTTTTTTTTAAATTTCAAAATTTAATTAATTGATGAATTTAAATTTAGATTAATGTTTATTTTCTAATTTTTGTTCCAAAGCTTGAATTCTTTCTAAACAAAATTCAATCAATTGGTCTTGTCTTTGAATGGTTTCTTCCAAGTTTTCAACTTTCTTATTTAAAATTTTGATAATTTCAGAGTTGACAGCTGTGGAATTCTCAACATTAATTGTTTGATCCAAATGTTTTCTTTCAATTGAGTGAATAATATCTTCATCTTTAGCTAAATCTATTGGTGTTTTACCTTGAGCATTTTTCAATTGAATATTTGCACCAGCGTCAAGTAAAGCAGTTGTAATTTTCTTCTTGAAATCGAGTTCTTCATCTGTCGTTGCTGGTAGAACTGCAATATGAAGAGCAGAGTTGCCTTCTTTATCAACTGAGTTTACAAATTCAGGAAACATTTTGACAATGAAATAAACAACTGATTCTCTCATATTTTCCACAGCAACATGTAGAGGTTGTCTATTCTTATTATCAACATTCTTTTCATCAATATTAAGGGTAAACGGAGGATTTAACAACACTTTCAATAATTCTATCTGACCTCCAGCTGCAGCCCAATAAACACAAAATGATTTCTGAATATTAATTCCCTTTGATTGGAAAAAAGAAACCATTTCCAAGTCTCCCAGATATGATGCAAGCGCTATAACATTCATGTTAACCTTTCCAAATTTCTTATGTTTGAATTTTCTGTTCATATCAGCATTCTTGTTGATTAAGAAAAGAATCATTTCCTTTTGCTTATTCATGACAGCCTCACATAATGGGGTCCAGTTCTGATAATGAGTGGAGAAAAAACAAGCATCAATGTAAGCTCCTTTTTGCAACAGATAATTTACAAGTACAGATGAACCGTGGCGAACAGCAAGGTGAAGGGAAGTCTTTATATTTGTTACTGAAATCAAAGAAACCAAAATACTTACTTCATGTTCACTCAATGGTTGTAAAATATCCACACCTAACATGTTCAATAATTTTAGATAATCCAAATTACTATTAATGGCACATTTTATGACACAATTAAGGATCGTTTCTTTAAATTCTTTTGCAACAATCCAAGCATCAAAATTATCTGCCTTCTCAATGGCATTAGCAACAAAGTATTCACTAATATAACTATCGTACAAAATATTAATACAATCATAAAGATTAGTGTGACAGACCATGTAGTGAAAAGGAGCTGTAATCATGTTATCGTTAATGAACAATGAATAAAACATACTCAGTCCATTTGAATCTTTAAGCTTCAAAAACTCATCCAAAAATTTCAATTCTTTCATCTTCTCAAACACAAAGCTCCCGTTAGAAAAATCAAGGTCATTTGAACCTTTATGTTTGAAACCATATTGAATGGCCAAGTGAAGACAATTTCTATTCTCCAAACAAAGATGAGGTCCTTTTAATTGACTTGCATTGGAAGTTGTAAATAACAGTTTTAGTCTGGAAACGGAACCTTCTTTCAATGAAAACACAAACTCTTTCAATACATCCGATTCAAAAGTTTTTGATTTTATATCTTCCATTATGCTTGCATTCCTCTTTCTTCCTAATTCCTTTTCACTCTCGTCTTTGACATGAAGACCTTCATTCATCTTCATGATTGTATTTTTCCTTAATACACTTTGCCTCCTTGAAGGAGAAATAGGAAGCTGAGGTAATGGCTTGCTCATTTTTTTAATAAGACACTATGCTACTGGGATGTGTTATCATTACAGCAATATTAATAAAAATGAATAGAGGATGTATGGATGTTAACAGTTTAGTAGTTGGAGGAGTACAGGATGTAAAAGACAATGTGGTCGGAGGATTCCACACTTTGAATAAGGCTACATCAATTTTGAAGAGAACACTTATCACCTGTTGATCATTCAATCCTTTGAATATGTTTACTTTTCCATTGACAGAATTTCACATTATTTGTAGATTTGAATTCAGCTTCTTCCTCCTGTTTTTCAGTTAGTAGTTTTACATTAATTTATAATTCATTCTTTGTATTTGTTTACACAAGAGAATAGTTAATAATAAGAATAGACAAAAGATTCTTGAATGTCCAAGTTTTTACAATGATAAAATGGCCAAACACAACCCTAACTACCGATAGAAATAAAAAATCAATCTCATTCATGACGGTTGAAATATGAGAATGACAGTTTACAATGATTTTGAAACTAAAATGATTGGATGATCATAGACTTATTGTATTGACGTAGAGAATTCACAACCCATACAAACTCTTAAAAGTGTTTGGTCTAAGAGAAAGAAAGGTATTAAAAAAAACATAACAATGAAAGTTTCAAATTTATTATTCATTTGTCTATTCCTATTCACTTTTGCTTACAAGTTGACTGTTGCCTCTAGCACTTCCAACATGCTACAACCAGTCAATTTATTTCAGAAGAGAACATCTCAAGCAGTGTGCACATGTCCTAGATGTCCAGACAAAATTAACATCAACAATTTCTTGTTCTCAACTGAGGTGAATTGTCCCACCAAGTGTCCCACAGGCTATTACGTCAATGGAATGGATCTCTTGATTTCACCATTTAATGACTACCATACCTACATTATTGAAACTACATCCACTGACACTTCAAACAAAATTAATGACTTGTCAAAAGATCAAACCAGATACAATCTTGGAGATTGTTTCAGTGCCTCTACTTCCTTAAATCTTGATACCACTGATTACACTACCAAGATTACATGTAAGAATGCCATTACTCAATGCTCAGTTCAAGTGAAAAATGTTTGTTTTTGCTCCAAATCCCCTTCAAAATTGGTTATTATTGCTCCTTCTCTTGTTGTGACTGGATCTAAATACACACCTGAAGTAAGAATTGTTGACAATGATGGAAATATAGTTCCAAGAAACTATCTCATTGAATTCATTTCACCTGGTCAATCCTATACTTCTATGGCATCAAATGGTATCATGAAAGTTAATGAACTTATTGCCCCAAGCTCTGGTACTGTTACATTAAGAGCTTCTATCAGTTCTCTTTCAGGTTCTGCTCCTTCATTGACTTCTGCTGAGTTTACTGTCACTGTCACTCAATCCTTATTCACATGTTATGGTGCTTCACCTTCCAACAGTTCTGTTTGTAGTGGTAAAGGAACATGTACTGCTCAAGATGTTTGCTCATGTTTCACAGGATACAGTGGTAGTAAATGTGAAACATTCTCCTCAACCACTCAAGTTTCCAGCATTAAACTCTCAGTTCCCTCCACTGTGAATAGTGGTTCTCAATTTACTGCAACTGTTTCAATGTTGGATTCAAGTGGAAGTACCATGAAATCAGGTTCAGGAACTATCACTTTGGATATTGTTGGTGCATCTTCTGATGTTACAATGGTTGGTGATAAGTCCAAAGTGGCAGGTGAAGGTGTTGCTTCATTCTCTGTTCAATTGTCAACATTGACATCAACTTCGATCTCTCTAAAGGCGAACTATCAAACACTTTCAGATACCAAATCAGTTAATGTGGATATATCCAGGACATCTCAATGTGCTGCCATTTGGAGTTATCTTTTCACAATAACCTTTTTTGTAATTTTATTTATTATCTAATAATAATAATATTGCATTAAATAAATTTAATATTACAAAATTTAATTATTATAAATGGATCAAGACTTCATTGACTCAAGTTATTTCTCAAATGATCTGACAAAGTCTAATAACATCAAGTCATGTATTAGAATAGTGTTCAAGTAGGTAATACCAGTAGTATTTTACGTGAATTTTATCATGAGCTTCCAAAGAAACATTCTAAGGGAGGTCAATCTCTTGAAAGATTTGCTAGAAATAGAGAAATTGCCAAGAATGAATATCTAAAGATTATTGCAGAGAAGGCAAATTCTTTATTCGTATCGCCAACTTTGAATGCTCCAACTGTAGATGCTATTATTCTTGCTGGATGTGCTGAATTGAAGAATGAATTACTTTCTCTCAAATCTGATTGTTTGGTAATAGTAAAATAGTAAAAAGTAACTAAGAGTGATTTAGGTCAATTTGAACATGCCTTGAATTGCCTTGGCAGAGTAAGCTTCTTCCAAACTCTTCTTTTCTTCATCGGTTAATTGAATTTCCAATGCTTGCACATTGAGTTCAATATTTACAGCTTTAGTGGCGCCAACAATTGGACAAGCAACACCTGGCTTGGAAAGCAACCAAGCAAGTGCAATTTGAGCAGGTGGTACATTTCTCTTCTTTGCAATTTCTGAAACTCTTCTCAATGTTTCTTTATCACCCTCTGTTAAATTTTCCTTAAATATATTTTGGAAATAATCAGAGGTAGCTCTCTTGGAATCAATTGCTTGTTCAGCATTGACAAATTCATGAGCACGAGCGAGCATTCCATTGGAAAGAGGTCCCCATGGAGTGAGAGAAACATGTTGGTCAACACATAATGGATTCATTTCTCTTTCTTCTTCTCTATAGATGAGATTGTGGAGATTTTGCATGGAAATGAATTTGGTCAATCCCTTCTTCTCAGCATAGTGTTGAGCTTTAGCAAATTGCCAAGCAAACATTGTGGAAGCACCAATGTATCTGACCTTTCCAGACTTGACTAAATCATGGAGTGTTTCCATAGTTTCTTCAATTGGAGTATTTTCATCCCAACGATGGATAATGTACAAATCAATGTCTATTCAATCAATCATTATTAATCAAATGAAATATTTCAGTAAACTTACAATCGAGACCTAATCTTTGCAATGAATCTTCAACTGCATGCATAATGTGCTTTCTGGAGAGACCAAAAGTGTTTGGTTTCAACTTGCTAAAGTCCATTACCATAGATTGTTCACCACTTCTGTCCACTGGAGCACAAACTTTGGTAGCCACAACAATTTCCTCTCTTGAAATGTTGAATTTCTTAATGAAATTTCCTAAAATTCTTTCACTTTCTCCATTACTATAAACATTGGCAGTATCGAAAAAGTTAATTCCCAAATCCCATGCCTTCTTCAAAATGATCATTGATTCCTCTTCATTCAATACCCAAGGCATCCACTTGGAAGATCCAAAACTCATACAACCCAAACAAAGTTGAGAAACCTTCAAACCACTATTACCCAAATTGACGTATTTCATTGTTTCTTTAATATTTTTTCTCTATCAAACTATGAAGCTTATTCAATAAGAATTGAATTTGTTTTTTTTGTTTTTGAAATTGTTCTTCTTTATTGCCAGCGAATTTAAGTAGGAAAATTTGTGCTCATATTTTCGCGAGCAGATTAATGTTTTGATGGTTTTGGATGGATATGATGATTTAAAATTGTGCTCACATTTTCACGAGCAGATTAATGACTGTAGACATTTAAAAAAAGTGAATTCTTTTTGTAAATTGGTACAAGGTCAATCTGGTTTTGGATGTTATGTAATTCCTTTTGTAAGCACTCAAGCACTCACTTTGGACTTCAACAAGCATTCATACTTTTGGCTAATAATGTATCGGGGTCATGGCGCAGTCGGTAGCGCGTAGGTCTCATAATCCTAAGGTCGTGAGTTCGATCCTCACTGACCCCAACTTTTTGCTTTCAATTAGTCATATTTAAGAACCCTTATTGAACTTTCCACGAAGAGGATTCTGGAACAACAAGGTGGAAATAGTATTAGATTTTTAAATTTATGCCTTCAAGATTGGTTTCAACATCATCTGTTAAATCTGTTAAACCACAAAAGAAAGATAAAAACAAAGCCAGTAAATCCTGTGAGAAAGAAGCTCAAAACCAATAATGCCAAACTTCATACCAGCCCACAACAAAGCTAAAATCCAAATCCCACAACCAGCGAAAATAGTGCCTGAGCACGTGGTGATATTAGCCAACTCCAGAATTCGGTATTTTATTATAGAATAGAAACAGAAATATGAAGGAATTTTCAAATTAATGTTGCTAAATGGCTTTTAGGCTGTATTAAGACAGATGTTAAGAATTTGAGAATGAAAGTTGGTGCCCTGTTACAAGGTGCTCAGTCGTCTTTTAACAGACATTATCAATGGCTTGTTCTGTTTTTTAACGATAAAACATCTATGCTTCTTGGACGTGTTATTATTACAGCAACATTAATAAAAATGAATAGAGGATTTATAACGGAAGGTGTACAGGATGTTAAAGGTTTAGTGGTCGGTGGTGTTCAGGATGTTAAAGGCTTAGTAGTTGGAGGAGTACAGGATGTAAAGGACAAGGTGGTTGGAGGATTCCACACTTTGAATAAGGCTACATCAATATTGAGGAGAAAAATTATTAGTGATGTTGGAAATGCTAAGGAACTAAATAAGAAGGTGATCAGTTATTTTACAGGAAAAGAGAGTAGGTTGATGAAGAATATTATTTAATAATTAATAATTATAAATAATATTTTAAATAGAGGCTCTTGAACATCCTTCAACAATTAATTTTGCATCAGATGAATTTGATCCTGAGGATTGTAGGTTATCATCAATGTTTAATAATTCTGATTTTTAGATACTGATACCTTATTCACAAAATCCGATTACAAACAAATTGAAAGCAATTGGCTTGCAGGATTATCTATTGAACAAACAAAAGCAAAGGAAAAATTACAAGAATTAGTTTCAGATAATTATATACAATTCATTGATGCTTCAAAAGAGGTTTCAAGTTTTATGGATGTTGATTTGATTGAAATTGGTAATCTTGTAACTTCTATGAAAAATGTTATTTCAGACATTGACTCAGTTGATTTGACTTTGGATTATAGATGTTTGTACCCAACTTTTAAAAGTGTTGATGTTGAGGCTTTAAGAGAAGTTGAATATACAATGCTACCAGAATTGGAAATGATAATTTCTCAAAGACTATTTCACAAAGCAGCAGAATTGGTTGAATTAATAGATAAAAAACTAGTGTTGGAAGATGATATCAAAATGGAAAAAGACTACAGAGCGTCACTTCAACAATTGAAAAAGAAATTCTACCAAAAAAGAATTGAACTCAGTGAATCTGTTTCTGAGTCGGTCAAAAGTGGCCTTTCCAGTAATAAGGATGTTAAATTATTGGAAAAAATTTCAGGAACAGAGATTGCTATTACAACTTATCTAAAAGGAAAAAAGGTTAGAATTAAGAATATTCTTACAAAGATAGAATGCAGAGGAAATGTTGAGGACTACACAAAAACAGCCTCCAAACATGTTTTCAAGATGATTGAAGTAGTTTGTGCGGAGTTTAGAGAGTTATTTACTGATGATACAAATACCTCTTTTTTTATTCAGTGGTCATTTGAGGTGTTAGAAAAATTAGTCTCCACTGTCAAAGTTCAAATATTAGGTCAACAATGTTTTGAAACCACATCTAACAGTATCAATGTTATCATTAAGAAGGCTCAACAGTTAGAAAAGATGGGTATCACAGTATCTTTCTACATACATAAACTGTTGTTACCTGATGTTGAGAAAACAATGAGACAACGATGTATTGAATTAAGAGAGGAGATATTTAGAATAGCTTGTTCTGAATTATGGAATTACAAAAATGTTCCCTGCGATTTATTTGCTGTTGCCCTTCCAGATGTTGTAAAGCAATTGAAGGTGGGGCAAAGTTGCCTTGTATTTGTGAATAGTATTCGTACTTTTATTATTAATTGTAGTTTAATAGTTTCCTCATATGTAAGTAATCACATACCAATATCTTACACCGTCAAGTCTTTCAATATTGTAAATATGTGTGTCACAGAACTCTTTGAGACTACCTTATCAAAATATTATGAGATTGGTTTGTCAAAAACCATTAGTGAGAAACAATTCTTTGTAATTTTATCAAGTTCAAGGTTTATCTTACAAGGAATGTTGGAGGAGGTTTCAGAGATGTTAAAGGTTTGTTCTTGTAAACATATTTTCTCTTTAACATTTGATTAGTTATTATTTGATAAGAATTTACCAGTAGAAATTACAATTCTTAAATCTAAAATATTTGGTTTTGATTCAAGATTGTTAGAGAAATATTGTGAGAACAAAGCTTTCAATTTAGTAGATGAAAAAATAGGATGGAATCACAGCTACATTGCTCAAGAAATATCATCTGTAACGAGTGTCAGCAAATTCTTTGCTCAGGTCATCTCATACTTTGATAAATTATCGAATCATATAGCTTCATCTTTTGACAAGGATTCTATCCCAATAATGAGGCTTTTCATTAAATATACGGTAGAATATCTTACTGACAAGAGTAATGCAATGACAAGCATGATTGAGGATACAAAAGAATCAGCAAAGAAACATAAGGTTAATCAGATTATTCTTGATCTGAGCTACTTTAAACAACAATTATCAAGCAGAGATTTTATTTCAGAGGAAGTAAGTATTGTTTTAATCATAATTATTTACCCATGATAGGATGAGGATACGATTATATCATATATTGATTTCATAAGAGATTTAAACCATGGATCAGAGAGTGTGCTCTCTAATCGAGCAATTGAAGAGATACTTAATAAATAAACTTTGCCGCCAATTTCTCCCGCTTTTTGTTGGCGTTTTTCAGTACAACAATAAAAATCAATATCAAAAAAATGCACTCAAGTTACTTCCTCAATCACAAGTCATCTAGGCCTAAGAATGATGATACGGAAGAAGATGAAGACATTATTGTTGAATTATCAACAAAAAAAGACCAAAGAAAAGTTATCTTAACTGGGTCTAAGGAAGAAATAAATACATCTGAAGATGAAGTTGAAGAAGGATATTTATCGGATAGCTTAAAAGAGGTTGACTATCATAACTTGGAAGAACCATCTTTCATTGAAAATTCGGATGAAGAAGATATGGATCTCATAACGATACAATCACTAAGGGAATCTCATCAGCAAAAATTAGACCAAGTGGAACGAGAATACCTCTCTCTTAGAGAAAAGAACAATATGTCAGTTGATGTGCATAAAACAAGAAATGTTCGGATTAAAAACCCAATGAATTCATACAGAACAGTCACATTTAGTGACCAATTTGATGAGGAGCCAAGAAACTCTCCTAAATCTGACACTGAAGAAAGGGATTTCTCTCAAGTAAACAGAAGAGTATCTGAGATCATCAGTGAGGTCAGTTTGGACGACGATAATACCAGTGTCAGTTCTGATGACACTGAGTTCAAACAAGATTACAAACACTATTTCAATGACCCAAGTTTACATAATCAATTGATTGATGAAGAGTCAGTAGAACGAGACTATAACTATAATGATATTAGTGACACTTGTACAGTGATTTCGGATGTGTCAGAATTTGTAAAGGAAAGAGATGCCGAGGGACCAACAGAAAACATCGAACGTAAAAACATCACTGTGCCTCTTCCATTCAAATTTGAGGACAGAGAGGCCAGAAAGCCTTTGGGCATTCATAGAAGGAAGATGGATGACTATATCAATAAGATTAAAATGGAAGAAGAACATCATCTCAACAAAAGATTCAAAGCAAATCCAGTTCCAAAATCAACAAAGACTCCTTTATATGAATCTGTAAGAATAAGGACTGAATTACAGACAAAGCTGGAGAGAAAGGCTCTTGAGGAAATGACTAAAAAAATAATTAAGCCATTTTATTTTGCTGAGAGAGACGAAAGGAGGTCCAAACAATTAGAAGAAGAGAAAATACTAAAACAAGAGGAGCATTATATGAGATTTGAAAAAGGATTTGTGGCTAATCCAGGTTTGTTTCAAATTTTCCTATATTCTTACATCCAAAGTTCCCTCACATACTTTCAGACATATTTATACTATAAAACAAGAAAGAGAATCACAAAGGAGAAGTGAAAGAGTTCAAGAAAGATCCCAACGACTTCTTCGCCAATCCTCTCTCCCTCCTAGAATGGAAATGTGGAATAAGGTCGGAAAATCACAAGCTATATGTAAGTAATACTCCCTTTGAGATCCAATTTCTAAAATATGTAGCAAACCCATTAGAAAACGATTTAACATTACATCCAAAAATCAATCATAACGTTCCTGTAAGTATTAGGATAAATTTTATTCTAACAAGATCAGGACTTTGACCATCTTCACCGAAAATTCCAAGAAACTCTGTATCTTGCAAAGAGAACTCAAAAGCTAACAGTTCCACAACCATTCAAGTTCAATAGTACGTTAACTGAAAAAGATATGAAGAGAATTGCAGATGAGGTAGGATTAGATGATGTGGTTCTTCACGATTCAAGGTCAGACTGGGAAAAACAAGATTTCAAGGCAAAAATTTCAAAACGACCATCATCTGCAACCCAAAGCAGGCCTCAAAAGGATACCTTTGCAACTAGAATGAGAAATGAACAAATTAAAAAACAAATAGCTGAAAGAGAGGAAAGGAAAAAGGAATTGGAAACATTGAGAGGAAAGCAATTCAATCAACAACGAAAGATTTTCAACAGAGTGGCGCCAAATATTGACAAACAAGAAAACAAAGAGAATTTTTATGCCACTCTTTCGAATACTCAAAAAAGGAGAGAGAAAGATGCTCTCATTGATGCAAAACCCTATCTTTTCGAAACCTCTTTGAAGAAGGAAGCTAAGGAGAAAGTCTATGAGGATCTGAAGAAAACTCTTTCAGAAAATGGAACAGCCTATTTATTATCCTCTCTTAAATTGTAACAAATTAAATTATTGTAAAATAAAAAAATGAGCAAACAACAACCTGGTGACAATGAGGACAAGAACAAGACGGAGAGGAGAATGAAAAATTTATATAGATGGTTAAATCCAAAAGAAACAAATGAATTTTTAAATTCCGATTTTGAAACTCCAAAAACTATTGCAAATGCAGAAAAGGATGCAAAACTTTTTCCTACTGAATTAGAAATTTTAGATAGAGCAAAATTAATTGAAAAAAATCAAGTTGATGATGAAGAATTATACTCCTTCAGTTCTCAATTTGGACCAATTAGTAGATTAACAAAAGATCAAAAGAAGGATATTTTAAAATTAATTGAAAAGAATAGAATTGATATTCCAATAGAATACAAGACATATTTAACAGATTTAATCGATGAAGATATTTAGTTTACAAATTAATATGAAAAATCTTCATCTGATTCACCACAACGCAGCTTCTTTCCGAAAACTCTTCCAACGAAAAAGATAAAGGTTGCAATACAAGCAAACAAGGAATGTAAGAATGGAGCAACTGCACACCAAGCCATTTTCTTATTGACGTCAACAAGATCAACAATCATAATAACTGATCCACTAATAACACCTCCAAAAACAATAAATAATCCAAAGAATAACCATGCCCTAGCAAAGTAAACTACTTTGACATCATGTTCATGATCGGAATCCAAAAATAAATTATCTTTTGGAACAACATTCACCAGTATAAACCCAATAGCGCAAATTATTGTTGGGATCCAATTTACAAATGTTGATTCACTTCCTTGAATTAATTGAGCATCCAAAACCACAAGATAAGCAACAGCAATTAAAAAACCTGTCAGGTAGGCCCAGGTTGTCTGTGGTACTTTAATTTGCATTTTTTTAATTAAATTTGTTTTCGAAAAAGAGTTTTATTAGAAGGACTTGTTTGGGAAGTAACATTTGTACAACCTTCCAATTACTATCTAATATCTTAATACATATTGTTGTACAAGGTTTATTTATTTATTTAAATTTCTCTTTTAACTTCGAACCACATTCTCAAAACATAGATTTGAACACCTGAAAGACAAACTAACAAAAAGATGGAGAATAAATTGTAATAGGTAACTCTTTCGTTTGTAGCTTCACAAATATTTCTATGAGTAGCTTCTCTAGCACGGAATTCTTGTTGTTCATTTTGAATATGGCTTAATCCTTCAGATAATTTTTGAATTGTTTGTTCAACTGGTGAAAGATGTTCCAATTTGGCAATATTAGTGTCCACAAAATCACCAATAGAAATATGGAATGAAACAGTCTTTGGTGTAAGAGTAGAAATCTTATTAGAGAAACAAAACTTGTAAGTTCCTTTCTTATCAGCATTAATAGAAAACTTTCCTTCCGATTCTCTTTCTTGTTGATGCAAAATTTCTCCATCAGGATCAAAAACTCTAAATAAATTAATATTTCCATTAATCCAATTACTAAAACCTACACTAAATCGATATCTAAAAATCCTCCTTTAATTACTTGATATTTTAATGACAATTTTGATGGCTTATCCAATGTTTCAAAAAGGCATCGTTCCTCAGCCGGATCCAATGTATAAGTTAAAGCATTTGTATGTTGAATAAGAATAGAAACAATGATCAACAGAGTTGCCATCAAGCAACAGGAACTGACTTTCATTGTATGATCGTGATGATGAAAGGCTAATTTTTTTAAAAAATTAAAAATTAAAAAAATTAAAGGTGATGTAATGCTGTACAGATCACTACCAGGCTATTTTCATCCGATATCGAGATGAAACAGCTTGATTTTATTATGGTGTTCTATGGTACATGGAATATAATTACACTATAGTTTACTACAGCTCTTAGAATTTTCATCACCACAAATATAGACAATTTTGATAGAGAACCTTTTCAAAAAAAATACACATTCATTGTGCACTGCATTCTCCCAATTTCAAAATTTATCATTAAAATGTCATGCTGTTGTAAGAAGGATTCATCACTTGCTGAATTGATTGTTTTTGGTGGTTTTGGTATCGGAACTATTCTTGCTACTTTGTTATTGAAGAAGGAAAAGAAACCACAACCAATTGTTGAAACTCCTACTACTATTGAATCATTCTATCCATTCATTTGTGAAAGAATTCAAGTTGTTGCTTCCAAGTTAGGAGTTTCTGCAGATGATATCTATCAAGTTCTTCCTCATTTACAAGCTGGTTCTTCAATTTCAATTAATGAACCAGAAAATGGATTGAATCTTGCTAAATATATTGACCATACCATTTTGAAGGCTAATGCAAAGCAAAGTGAAGTTGAACAGTTGTGTAAAGAAGCTTTGGATAATCAATTTGCTGCTGTTTGTGTTAATGCATCAAATGTTGCTCTTTGTAAAACATTATTAGAAAATTCTAATATTAAGATTGCTTCAGTTGTTGGTTTCCCACTTGGCGCTACTACTACAGAAACTAAGGTATTCGAAACTAGACAAGCTATCGATCTTGGAGCTCATGAAATTGACGTTGTTATTAATGTTGGAAAATTATTGGATGGTGATTATCAATACATGTTTAATGAAATGAAACAAGTTGCAGATGCTTGTATTGAAAAGAATGCAGTTTTGAAGGTCATTTTAGAATGTTGTTTGTTGGATAAGAATTTGATTGCTGATGCCTCAATCATTTGCATGTTGGCTAAATGTCACTTTGTTAAAACTAGTACTGGTTTCAGCACTTCTGGAGCTAAATTGGAAGATTGTAAATTGATGAAAGCAATCTGTGGTAATGTTGGTCAAGTTAAGGCTGCAGGTGGTATTAGAGATAAGGAAGCTGCTGTTAAATTCATCAATGAAAGTAAGATTGCTAGAATTGGTACTAGCAGTGGTATTAGTATTATCAATTCTGGACAAGCAACTGGATATTAAAATAATATTTATTACTTATCATATGACTTTTGAATGGTCAATCTTAATTTATAACAAACATCCCATTTATCCAGTGATAGTAACATATTTGAAATACCAGCATGTTGTTGTAATACTTTGAAATTTGAAGGTTTACAAATACCAACAAGAATACTCTTCAATGGAGAGTATAATGGGAATGAATTTTGAATTTGGGAAAATATTTGGAATGCCTTTCCTAACTCATTTCTTTGTAATAGTGTATTACCCAACTCGAATAATAAATTAATATCTCTTGAACCACAGTTTGATTCATGGTTAATTGAATCATAAAGTAATACCTCCTTTTTCATTACTTCAATTTCTCCTGTAAAACCAAAATTACAAATAATTAAATATTCCACAAATGGTTCCAAGTAGGTACCCTTAGCTTTTGTTTTAAAGTTATCTAAAGAAATTTTAAAATTATGCTTATCCAAAATCAAGTTATCATGTTGAAGTTTAACCAGCTCCGTCCTCAAATTGTTGATTACTAAAGCTTGTTCTCTGTTACTACTTGGTAATCTTGAATTGAAAATAGATTCCTTAGAAATATCATCCAAATCTACAAGTAAATATCCAGATGGTATATATGATAAATGATTATTTCCTTTAAATTCCTTTCTCAAAAAATTCATTACTGTTTCATTACTTTTCAAATCATCTTTTGAAATAATTTGTCTCTTATAAAGATCCATAATAAAACTTGATAAAAAGAATGATTCCGAGTTGGCATTTGGATTTTCATACTTATTTTCTAATTTTCTCATATATTCCTTTTCTTCTTGTGTTATTTCAATTCCTCTTTGAATCTTTTCTAAACTTTCTCCAATTCTATTTTCATAATCATTTTGTAATTTTGATAATATTAAATTTCTATTATTTAAATTTTGAATAGTATTTTGAATATCTTTAATAGTCAAATTAACATCAAGTTCTTCTGCTATTTTAATTGTATTAATAAATCCAGATAATTGAATTGATACATCTTCAAATTTTTCATTCTTTAAAATTTCTTCAACACTTTCATTTCCATTGATAGAAGTAAATTTAAATCCATTTTCAAGTAATTCTTTAATTGAATTTTTTACAGTTTCAATATCACTTGATTGAATTACATTTTTATCACATTTTAAAACACAATAAATTAAACTTGTTAATTCTGATAATAATTTTGAATTTCCTGCTTTTTTACATTCTTTAGAAAATTGTTCAATAATTGATGGTAAATAATTTCTCAATAATTCAACACCATCCCTATTATTTAATTTCAACCATTTCATTATATTTGAAATCTTTTCATGATCCATTTCATTTAAATTATCTAAAATATTCTTTAAAGAATCTGTTTCTTTAATATTTTGTAAATAATAAATTAATAAAGCAATAGCAATTAGTGAAAACCCAATCAATGTTCCATTTGAAATATATTTCAACTCCTTTACATGATGTTTTTCAATTAATTTATAAAATTGAACTTCATTAAATTTTAAATTTTCTTGAACATTTTGAGGAATTTTAATATTTGGTAAAATAGGCTTTGTGATTTGATTTTCATTTTCTTTAAAATTATTCACGGATTGATGAAATCTTCTTAAAATATTATTAGGAGTTTTAAACACGTGTTCACCTCCAAAAAGATAATATTTTCTTCTCAGTACTTTCATCGGAGATGTTGTTGTTGGCAAGCCTTTCAGCATTTTTTATTATCATTAATTAAAAAAATCTATTTTTACACAACAATTTAGCACTTAGTCCTCCACGTTAAATGTTGTGTCCTCCACCAAGCGTTTTTTGGCTAGGACAGTTGACAAACTCAATAGATTTCTTGGCAATAACCTTGAAAAACATTTAACGTTGGCTCAGCACAGCCACGGTAAAGTTTGATAGGCTGCTAATTTGTGGTGAAAAGAAAAAAAATGAAAATTTCATCATCAATTGTTTTTATTGTTTTGGTTGCATTGATTGCCTTGTCATCCTATTGTTTTGCTGAAGAAGTAGCTATGGGTGCTGCTGATAGTCCAAATATGCAAATGAATGATCAAAAAGATATTGCTAGAATTGAAGTAAGTTTTCCGATCATTGATTTCAAACAAATCGTCCTTTCATTATTATAAATTCATTTAATGTTAATAATTAACGTGTGAAATCATTTTAATGATGTGCATCACTCTCCATTAATTTGATAAATGATGTAGACTTGTGTTGGAGCATGTTTAAAGAAATATCAAGGTGCTTTTGAATTTATTTCTCAAAAATCAATGAGAATGTCTGGATTACAAGTTCTTTTTATTGGACAATATCCAAAACTTATTCTCTACACTGCTGAGCATGAAACTAAGGAAGAAATTGATATCAGAGACAAGTCAGCTCAAGAAATTGAAGAAATTCTTATTAAAGCAGGTTGTAGATTTAGAAAAATGAATTAAACATCTCTCAATTCTGTTACTGCAGAATTATTTGTTTCCATTGGTGGTTTCTTTGTTGTGTTATTCTTCTTTTTCTTTGAGGTGTCATACATTTTCAATTTTTGATAATAGTCAGGCCATACCAAGTATTTGATACCATAGAAAAATAAATCAAAAGCAAGAGGAGTTACAACACATAAAATGTGAACTAACCAAAATCTAGCAGATTGTACAACTGTATACCAAACATAATAAGTTTGATTGGCAGTACCACCAACTGATTGAATACCTGCATAAGCAAATGCAAATGCATAATATGTTAAGAAAGAGAATGCCATACATAAATGGTGAAGAATTGTGAAATTTTCCATCTCCAAGTAACATTTGAGATTAACAACACAAAATACGCATGAACAGACAAGTGTTGAAACAGACCAAAGACCATCATCTTGACCTGTTGTTAAAATGCCTGCTTCATTGGCATAAATAACAAAGAAGAAGATTATGGTTGCGTGAATAATAGCTCCAAGAATCCACTTGATAAAAGTATACCAATTGAAAATATAATCCTTTCTCAAATTGGTATAAAGTACTGGACCAATTGTAGAATCTTCCAAATATTCTTCCTTGATATCCTTTTCTAAAAGTCCAAATACAAATGGATTTAACAATGTAAATACCAAGTTATAGAAGGTAAGAACGTAACTGTCAACAAGTGTTTGACCAGAGTACATGGTATAGAAAGTGAAATAAACTTGAATAAATGTAATGACAATATTCTTATAGAAAGAATATTGAATGAATTGAGCTGATCTCTTGAATGAATATCTACCGTGAGTAACTAATAAACGTTTAAGCATAAAGAATTTTGGAATGGCATAATCGGAAGATAATTTAGCTTGAGAACCTTCTTTACCCATAACACCAACACCAACTTTAGCTTTTTGAATCATTGGAACATCGTTAGCACCATCACCAATAGCCAAACCATTCTTACCAAGTTTCTTCTTTGCTAAATCTACAAGCATTGACTTTTGTTTTGGAGTAGCACGACAACAAATTACTGTTTTACATTTCTTAATCAAATTAATAAAGAACTTTTGAGATTTGGTTTCCATACAGTGTGTGAATGCATGTCCATCAAGAACGAGAGCTACATTCTTCTTTTGGAATTCATTTAACTTTTCAATATTAGCTAAATGTGCTAAAATGGCAGATGCACTAGTATCATCATCATGAATAGATCCATCATCTCCATCTAAAGTAAATGTTTGGGAATCAGAATCTAAAAAGTTAGACATTTGAGCAATATTAACAGCTGTTTCTCTCTTATCACCAGTAAGTAACCAAAGTTGAAGACCAGAATCTAAGAAAAATTTGATAGTTTCAGGAACAAAAGGTTGCAATCTATCTTCAATAGCAGTAGCACCAGTAATTAAAAGATCCTTTTCAATTTCTAATTCTGCTGATTCAATAGCTTGCTTTCTCTTCTTTGAAAGGAGAGATTTGGCAGCATTATATCTAGTGATCCAATCATTAAATTGAGAAGCAGGAATAAACTTATAAGCCAAGAGTAAAGTTCTCAAACCATCTCTAGCAAAATTAAGAATATGTTCATCCAATCTTGGTTTCAATTGTTTGCTATTGTTTGGTTCAATAAAAGGGAACAAGAAACTGTCAGCACCCTTTGAATAACAAACATAAATACCTTGTGGACCATTAACTTCTTGAGATGGAATACCTTGTAATAAAGCCATTCTCTTAAAGGCAGGGAAATCATTCAAAAAATCAGCTGGAATAAGGAAGAATGTAGACATTCTCTTTCTATCTGGTGTGAATGGAATTTCTGTTTCTCTTTCAAAAGTGTATTCCTTGTCAAAGATTTTAACAACTGTCTTTTTTTCAGAGTAAAATTTGAGGGTAAAATTATTATTGACAGCACCCAAAACGAGGGCAACTTCATCAACACTTTCACCTTCATAGAATGATTTACTCTCACCACTTCCATTATGTATTGGTTTTTCTCTTAGGGAAACATTATGGCAAAGTGCAAGGAGAAGGAAAACATTCATACCTAGGAAGAATTCATTCTCATTAGAGAATGCCAATTTTCTATCTGAAATAACAGAATCAATTTCAGCTTGAGAAATTTCTTTAGACATTCTATGCTTTTTCATTTGATTATAATCTTTCAATTGTTCCAAGACTCTACCAACATGTCCTTTGGTTTGATAATCATCATGAACATAATCATGTCCAATACAACACTTATTGAAAACCATAGAGTTTTCTGTAAGTGTTCCTGTCTTATCTGAGAAAATAATATCAACTTGGGATAAATCAGCGTTAAGGTCACTGGAAATTGAAATAGAGTTGATAAAGACCTTACGATCTGGATCATGAGGATCAGTATCATAAATAGCCATTTGATTGTCCATTGTAATAAACCAAGCTTGAATCATTTTGACAAATTCCAAAGAAACAAACAATGAAACTGGAATTAACATGTTAAGCAAAATGAAATAAGTAAGGAATGAAAGGACAACATATGCAGCATCTGTAATATTTGACTTTGGTTTACCAGTGTAAGGAGAAATTCTAGCCAAAGTAAATTCCTTATATGAACCCAAACCAACAAAGATTAAGCAGAAAATAATTTGAATAGTAAATAAAGCTCCAATGAAATAGTTCAACATGGAATTAACAAAACTGAATTTGACCTTTCCTTTTTGCATATTCTTCATAATCTTAGTATCAGGACCAGAATAAATGACAATACCATAAATATGTTGTGTTGATCTAAGAATTGATCCTTTCAATAAAAGATTTTGATGAGATAATGGAATTTCTGGACCTAATCCATCTATTTTGATAGAACCTTTAAATTTGTATAATTGTTCACTAGGTGGTTGACAATCAACAATTCCTTTCATATCTGCTAACTTTTCTGGAGTGCTAAATACTGATAAACCCTTTGGACAATATCTTGCTTTCAAATTAGTTTCACCATCAAGGTTTGCTGTTTCAATTTTACAACTACCATCTTCAAAATTTGATGAAATAAGTAAAATATCAGCAGGGAAAGCATAATCTTCCTCAACTTTAACAATATCACCAACTCTAACATCACAAGTATCAATTCTCTTAATTTCCTTTCCTCTTATCACATATGCCGCTGTTTTGTTCACTTTTCTGTCATTTAAATAACGCAGAAAATCTTCACCTCCTTCTCTAACCATATTAACACCGAGAATGAAAATGACAGGAAGAACAGAAGTTACTGGAGTTGTAGGACTGACATCTGGAATAAAAGCGAAAATCATAATAACAATAAAATAAATATTACCAATTTTCTTAAATTGGTAAAGTAAATTCAAAAATAAAAAGTTCCACCAAGTATACTAAAAAGATCTCAATAGTAAACTCTTTGAATCAATTAAATATTACCTACCTTCGTTGTACTAATATAATTAGTTGGAAATCTTTGTCTCTTAATACCAAGAAACCATTTCTTCTTTTCTAAACGATTCACCTCCCAATCATTAATTTGAATTTTATGTTTATCCTCCTCTTCCTCAACAGGTGTTGGCGTTGTTTGATTTGGTTGATCTTGTGTATTGGTCGGTTCTTGTTGGGTTGGTTCTTCTTGATTAGATTGATCGTTTGTTTCTTCTGTTTTTCCAATAACAATAACTTGATCTGTAGGTTCCATGAAAATGCTGGAATCAACTGAAGTATAAGCTCTGCACTTACTCATTTCTGTACTTCCCTGTCTCTCAAGTTCGTGATTGACAGATCTAAAACTTGTGCTAATTCCCGATGGGGATGCAATATTCTGGCCTTGTTGGGCCGAATAGAAACTCATTTTGAAATAAATAGAAAGTTTTTTAATGTTTAATTGGAGATTGTATAAAATTGTTGAAAATTAAAAGCGTTCTTAATTAAACGTTTTTAATTTTTCGCAATATAATAACAAATCTCGCCTCTTCAAAAAACTATTTATCCTCTCCAGATGAGTGATGATGACAATATCGGCTGCTGATGTAAAAATCTACGCACGCGGTGCAGGCAAAATGTTTTTGCGTATTTTTTTTGAAAATGGGTAATGTCGTTGGGAGTGTTTGGTTGTGAGGCTTGGAGCAGACTTGTTTTCTAAATAATCAAGTTTTGAACGTTGGGCAACATTCATGTTCACTATCCACAAACTTTTACTCTATGGGTAGTTGTTCAATCAACGACTTGTTGCTGACTTTGTATGAAAATTGGTGTAAGCAGAGTTCGTAAACATCGAGTCGTTGCTGATCTGAAGTGTTAACGATTGCGATTGAAGTTAAAAGGGAGTCGGAATTCTATTGGTTAAATGATCCTCTCCATTTCAAATTGGAAAGGAAATCAGCAAATTCATCTTGGCGCTTTTTATTAATACTTTTGGAAGTTTATTTACAGTGCAACTTTAAACATTCCTTTTAATGGATATTAAATAATTGTGAGTTTAATGTTTTTGTGCTTGATTTAATTTTTCTTCTAATTTTTCAATAATGTCAATCATATCTTCATTATCTTGTTCAAGTTCTTGTATTCTCTTTTCTTGATCTGATGTTGTTTTTTGTTGTTTAGCAAGTGCTTCTTGTGCAGTAATTTGTTGTTGTTGAGCTTGTTGTAAATTGAGTGTTAATTGTGCAATATATTGTTTCAAATTTTCATTCTCAGTAAATAGTGTTGAAATTTGATTATCTTTAACCATTGTTTGATTTCTCATATTATTAATATCATTATCCATATTCTTAATAATTACTTCCTTATGATCAATATCTTTTAGAATATTTTCAATATCTTCATCTTTTTGTTTTAGTTGCATTTGAATATTTGTCAATTGTTCTTGTTGAATATTATTCTTGAATTGTTTTTCTTTTGTTTCATGTTCGAGATTTTCGTGAAGAGTTCTTAATTGTGATTCAAGTCCTTCTATATTTGATTTATATTCCTTAATCTTTTGTTGAGAATGTGTTAAATCTCTTTCTAATTGTTGACTTGTTTCTAATAATTTTGATTTTTCTTCTTCAATTGTTTCAAGTCTTGAAGAGAGATCAGTGATTCTTGTTTTTAATCTTTGATTTTCAGTTGAGAGATTTTGAACTTGATTTTGGAAAGATTCATTGGTTTCATTAATTTCACTTTGAGCATTTTCCTTTTCAACTCTAAGTTTTTGAATTTCTTCATCCGCAATTCTTAATTTTTCTTTACAGTCTTTCAATAAAATTTCTCTCTTTTCAATTTCTTGATTCTTCTCGATTATGATTTTTTGTTTTTCTTCTTCTTGAAGTTTCTTATTATTCTTTTCAAGTTCTTTCAAAAGAGTATTTTCTTGATTGTTTTCAATGTTTGAAAATTCTGGACTTGATAAAAATGTTAAAATATTACTCATAGATGATGTAATTAATGAGACAAATTCAAGATCAACTGGTAATACTTCAATCGGTCTTGTTTCTTGAATATCAAGTGATTCATAATTTAATTTAGGTTGATTGGCTGCCTTACTAATCATTTCACTTTGTCTCAAAATATCGAACCTTTCTCTAATTCTTTGTAATCCTACACGACGAATGAATAAATCAATAAGAGATAATCTATTGAAAGTAATTATTAATGATAGCGGAAAGAATACTTACTTTGAGAATTTTCCAACAGGTGAAAGTGTAAGGTTATCTTCTTCTGAACTATAGTTTGATATTAACTTGGATGGATCCTCATATTCAACGCAAACAAGTCCCAAAAGCATACAACAGAGAGATTGAACAATTGGGCTTGAATTGAGTCCTTGAGAAGAATTAATCACTTCAATGAACTATATTGAATAATAAGTGTTGTTTCATGAATATATTTGATTGATTAAACACATATTGGAGAACTAAACTTACAAATAAAAGAGTAGAATAACTGTGTTCCATAAACTTTTTAGCAGATGAAGAACTACCATTAATCCATTCACATAATAATCTCAGCAGGGCAATCGTATAGTAATCTTGAATACGTGCCTTAATTGCATAAACAATAGCATTAACTAAACAGGTAAAGAATGGTTTTGGCTGAGCTCCAGTTTGTGCATCATATGGAATTTCCAAAAGAATTTCTTTACATTTGGTACTTTGTCTAATAATTGAACTTAAAATTGAAACAGCATGAACACATTCTAAAATGTGATATTTTGGTTTTTCAAGAGAGAATAAAGCATCAGATAGAATAATACCACACAACATATTCTCCTCCAGTGAAGATGAAATGAATGTTGGTGCTTTAACTGTTGAAGCAATCAATAATTGACCTTCCTTATTATTATGTAAAAATCTTCTAAGAGTAGAATAGGATAATTGTCTTCTGTATTCATTTTCAGAATAGAGAATAATTTTACAAAGTCTAATAATTGCAGATTCTTCAGATAATAGAGCATGAACAACACCATTACCACTTGAACCTGAAGATACTGCCTTTGATACACCATTAAACATTAATGTTTTACCTTGTTGAGGTACATTAATAACATTATTTGGATATTGGAATGTGTAGGATTCCATAATTTCTTGAGCAGGTCTATTGTTAAATAGCAAATGACCCAATAAGAAAATAGATTTCATATTAATATCATACATTATAGTTCTAATAAGTTCTGGAATTGAAAAATCTGATTCTGATGTTAAAATTGAAGAAAATGTATAATCAAATGAAAGTCTTAATATTGGAATAAGAATATTAGAGTTTGAATTATTTACAAACTTTGTACCTCCCTTTCCAGAAGAGACGTTACAAATAATTTCCTTAACAGGTTCTTTTGTTGATTTCATTAATTCTAATAAAATATCCAATACTTGTGACATGATTTCTAATTGCTTCTCGCTGTTAGCAATTTTTTTAAAATCCTTTTCTTCTTCCTGTTCATTGTGGGATGATAATTTTGTTGGTTGATGATTCATTGAATTTTCATCTTCATTGAGATGTGAAGATAATGTCTCTGATCCACCACCCGAGACCAAAGTCATGGCAACACCAGCAAAAGCTTGAAGAAAACCAACTTTACCATTTTCTGAATCGGAATGTTTCTTAACTGCTAAATGTTTTTTAATAGCCTCTGGAATTAATAAAAGAGGATGTAAATAGGTCATTCCTCCATTTTGTAGCATTAAAAATTGTTTTCTATTCAATTCATTATTTTGTAATAGATAGTGAATAATAACTAGACAATCTAATACAATAATTCCTCCTTGATTGCCACCTTCTTGAAGAATAATTCCAAATAAAATATCAAAAATTCCTTCAAATACTAAAATTTTCTTCAACTCTGAAGTATTTAATGACTCTTCAACACTAATACTTTCAACTAGTTTTTTCAGGAAAATAATTCCTTCATTCCTCAAAGCACCATAACTATTAAAAACTGAAATGATTAAAGGAATTGCAGCTTCTCTCAAGATACAATCCTGAACTACTTGAGGATTAAACTTTAAAAGACTTGTTAAAATTTGTATTGAATGAAATCTAATATGAGAATTATTCTCATTTAAAAGTGATAATATAATAGTTACATAGGTTGGTTTTTGGGTCAGCGCGTCAAGATAAATTTGCCCATAATGTCCTAATTGAGTTAAATTAGAAACAATAGTTAAATATTCCATTGTTGATGATTCATTTTCATTTTGATTAATAATATTAAATAATTTAGGTAAAATTGTTTTAAATTCTCTATGATTTCCATTACTTTCGTAATCTCTAGATGATAATTCAATTAAACTTTCTAGAGCATCTATTTTATCATCGAGAAGAGATGAAGTTTCAATTCTATGAAAAAGATCCGATACGTTCAATTCAATTTGTTTTGGTGTTCTGCGAGAAGTTTGTTCAAAATTTTGTTGTTGTTGTTGACCAACGATTGTGGTTGAATTATTATCAACCCTACTACTATTAATGATTGATTGTGATTGTATAGTTGGAGATGATTCGTCCGATGATCCTTGTTGTTGTTGTAATATTGGTGCTTCTTCACTACCACTCCCTCCCAGATAGTTTTGGAATATCCAAGACGCCATTTTTTTATTTTTTTAATTAAAATTCTATTTTTTGATTCAGCAACAACACATCTATGTCACGATCTGAGGTATGAGTCTCATTCAATTCATTCGATAAAGTAGTAACATTTTCAATTAATCCACCACTAAATGTTAATTTGCTCCACTACAACCCTTTCAACACCATTGTTTAACAACCCAGAATAAAGACTTCAATTAGACAATAGACCAAACACAAACAGCCAACTACCCAATGCGATAAGAAAACAATAACCACTACAATACGATTTTGTAAACTAAATCCAAGCATTAATTGGATGCCGAACGAAATTAAACCAAGCAAGCAAGGAAGTGTTATACATCAAAGCAGGTAATTACCATTAGCCATTCATTGCAATGAATCGAATAGAAAACCACTAGCCATCAACCTTTATTTCCACCACCAACAGTGCTCATACTAAAACAACCAAAGCCTTGATAAACATTATGATATTCCAAATAAATATATATATAAAGTATATAAATATTGTAAAATTAAAAAAGATTAATAATACTCATACTAATAGTAATAAATTATCTTCTAGGTGAATAATTTGGTGATCTATCAGAATTTCCATAAGGTTCATATCTTCTTCCAACATGTTTTGGTGGTCTTCTTTCTCTTCCACTATCTCCTCCTCTTCTATCGTCTCTACGATAATCATCTCTGTCATCTCTTCTATCATCATATCTATCATATGAATCTCTTCTATCATCTCTACGATAATCATCCCTTCTATCATCTCTTCTATCGTATCTATCATAATCATCTCTTCTATCATAATCGTCATCATCATATCTACTATATCTTCGAGGTGGTGATCTGTATCTACGTGGAGGTGGTGATCTTCTTCTATTGTCTCCTCCTCTAGAAGATCCTCCTCTTCTTTGTTTTCTTCCATAGTCATAATCTAACTTGATTGTTCTTTCTCCAATTTTATAATCTTTTAACTTTTCAAAAGCATCTTCGGAATCTCTTAAAATTTCGTATTCAACAAAACAATAAGCATATCCACTTTCTTTCTTCTTTTTATCCATAGAACACATTGCTACTCTGATAATTGGACCAAATTTATCAAAGATTTCACGAATTTGTTCCTCTGATGTTTCATAAGGAATATTTCCAACAAATAATGTTCTACTTGTACCTCTACGATCTCTAATAAATTTTTTTCATATCATGATGATTAATTATTATTATTATTAACAAAATTTACCTTACATCACGCTCATCCCTACGATCATTTGATTGTTTGGAATCATTGTTAGAATTATTGTTATCGTTTGATGGTTCATTTGATGGTGAACCGTTATTATTGTTGTTGTTATTTGAAGCGGATTCTTCTTCAAAGTGAATTTCTGTGGTTGTACTCATTTTTTTTTGAAGTTTACATTAATTGTCTTTCTATTATTGATTGTAATAGAATGTTGTATTATTAGATCAAGAAATAATTTTCTTTCATTTAATAAGAATTGGTTCTAAACATTCTACAATTTAATGTGTTTGAAAATTTCAGAGTTAAGAATATATTGATTTTTAAAACCATTCAATTTTTTACCGCCAATTGTAGTTTTTCCCTCCAAAAAAATGTCTTCGGATCTACAAACAAAACTTGATATTCTCAAAACGAGTAGTGTCTCTTCGAATTGTTTGAAACTTTTCCCTGTAGGAAAGAAGAGAACTCAAAGGGTCTGTGTTGGTGATAATGAAGGTGTAACCCAAGCATTTGCAATTAAGAAAGGATCTGTAAATGTATGTGTTGTATATTGAAATTAATTTCTTAAACTTGCAATAGACATCATTCAAAACGCTTGCTCAAGGAAAACCAATCAAAGGAGTCGAATTACATAAGAGTCGTGTTTTTTATGCTTGTGGACAAACAGTCAGAGGAGTTTCAAAGAAAGGAAAGGAATTTTATAGATTGGACAGTAATATTTCAGAAGATGCAACAGGAATGGCTGTAAGAGTTCCGAGCCTATGGTTAAGTGGTAATTATATTTTGTATCACTATGTAGATTCTGTTGAAAAGGGATTTTTCATGTCCCCTGATAGAATTAATACAAGTGCACCTCATTTTGACTCTAATGATCCAGGTAATGATAAGGTTTTCGTTGGGTGTCAAGATAGAAAAATAAGAATTGTTAGAAACACTGATTGTGATGGACATATTAGCACCGAAGGTGGTGTAACATCACTTCTAGTTAATGAAGAACAAAAAACTGTTTATTATGGAACGGAATCAGGTCATGTTGTTGCAATGCAAATGCAAGGAAATGATTCTAGCGCAAAATGGAAAATTGATTCAGAAAAATCTGGTGTAAATGAAATGATGTTGTATGATATTAATGGAGATGGAAAGGATGAGATAATTATTGCAAGAAATGATGGTTCTTTGGAGATTTATTCATTCCTTAGTGGAAATGAACCAACAAGAATATTGAAAAGATCTCTTGATGAAAGTATTACCTGTGTTCAAGCTGGTAAGCTTATTTCACCAGAGTTTGATGATATTTTGGTTTCAACTTTCAGTGGAAGATTAATTGCCTTTACAAACCATCAATACAATTCTACAAGCACTCCAACTTCAACATTTGGATTTTTGGACGATAAGAAGAAGGTTGTTGGGTTGTCAAAAACAGAAAGAATTTCAAATCTCCAGAAAGAATTGGAAGGATTAGAGGATAAGTTAGCAAAAGTCAAGGTTAACTATTCTAAATTATCTTCAGAAATTGTTGCTGTGCATTGTCAATACGAAACAAAAGCTTCATTCATTCTTGATACAAAAGAAGCTTTTTATAGGTTGAATGTAGAGTCAGATGTACATTTAGAAATGGTTATTATAAGATCAGAAATAGCACTAGATTTATTAGATTCTTCCGGAGACAACAATGTAGTAGTTAGTAATATTACTGTCGATGAAAAGAAGGATGGTAGCAGCAAATTCATTGCGTCATTCAGATTTACTGATAATTGTAAGAGGATTGAAATTCTGTTGAGAACTTATGAAGGAAAATACGGAGCTATTGAGGCTTACACTATTCCTAAATTGAATCCAAAGATTTCAAAGATTCACCAATTCCATGTCAAACCACTCTCATTGCATGAAAGAATGGATGATGAGAAGGCAAAAACATTTATTCAAAATAGACCTTTGAACAAATTGACTGTTTCAGGTTCTTTCACTCTTTCAGAGGTGCATTCTTGGATTGGGTTGTGTGTTGAAGGAATTCCTGACAAGTAAGTTTTAATACTCTTTAATTTATTAACTTTATGTCAAGAGTATCTGACGATGAAGTTGTGTATTATTTCCATTCAACATTCCAAGAAACATGTCTAGTCATTAGATTGAAACGTGGTGAAGCTGTTGTTGAATCTGATAACATTACTGCAATTTCAGTTGTTGAAGAAGTTGTTACAAAGGCAGCCACTGATAGAAAGACTAAAGTTAATATCAGTTTTGGTATGTATTTAAATCATTGAGTTCTAATTCAATTTTAAAGATATTAACGATTCCTCTTTCGAATATGTACTGAATTTATTGTATCCTAAGGTTGAATATCAACTTTCATTGAGTGAAAAAGTTAAACTTATTGATGCTTTGAAAGAAATTCAATTACAAGAAGAAGATGTATCTTTCCTCTCAAAAGAATTTAAAGCAATTTTAGAAGAGGCTGATCAATTACTTGAAGATTCTAAATATCAAACAAAGAGATTAGACTTTTTAAATGAAATTCTCATTAGATTATTCTTGGATTGTATTAAATTTAAGAGAAAGAATGCTCAAGTCTATCTTCCATCATTTAAACAATTACTGGAGAGTAGAAAGTACACTCTAGAATCAATTGTTAAATCCTTCAAACAATTTTAAATAAAATAAGACTGTTAAGTTTTTGTTTGGCGCCAAAATTTAAAATCTAATCAAAAAAAATGAAAGAAAAGATTAAAGACTTGTTCGGAAAAAAGGATGGTGTTGAAAATATTAAAGAACACATCCAGGATGGTATGTTTTGAAAGTAATAGTAGTAGTAGTTACTATTGTTTTATTGAAATGATATAAATTATGCGGAATATGATGAATGATTTATATCATTGAAAAAACCTCTCTCTAATCATTTAATAATAACATGAATAACATTATTTGGAATATATTATTTGGATGTATTTAATCAATTTTATTTAGAAATTGAAGATAGTGATGATGAAGGTGTTGAAATTGAAGAAATTTATAAAAAGAAGAGAACCTATTATGAAGTATTGGGTATTAAAAAGACAGCAACACAAAAAGAGATTACAGATGCGTTTAGAAAAAAGTCTAGAAAATGCCATCCAGATGTTCAAAGATTAACTCCCGAACAAAAGAAGATTTTCAAACCAAAAGAATTGGAAGAATATTTTGAAGAAAAACAAAAACAACTTAATGAAGCCTATGAAGTACTTTCAAATGAAAGAAAAAGGGCACAATATGATGTACTAGGAAAATGTATTACTTCGCTTGTATTAGTTGATGATTCTGAAAATGTAAATTTTCAAGAATTAAAAGAAAGATATAAGAATTACAAAAGAGAACAACGTAAAATTCATCGTGATACAAAAACTCAAGGAAGTAGTTCTGCAACACTAGGTGTAGATTTAGCTGGAATGTTTTTAAGTGAAGAGGAATCTGAACAAATTGTTGAAGAGGATGGTAAAACATATCGTGTCATTATTCCAAAAGTTTCATTTACAAATTCTTCATTTTCACAATCATTCCAAACACCAATTACAAAATTAGATACTGTTCTATTTCATGGAAATGCAAATTGTGATCAATTAGAATCAGAAAATGTTGCTCATACAATTGCTGTTCAATGGAGACATGTTATGGATCCAACAAAGGAATCAACTCAAATGGATCTTGCAACTATTTATTCAAGTCAAAATCCAACTGATTTATCAATTGTTGCTTCTGGAAGTACAAAATTATCAGAATTTAGTCAAGGTTCAATGCAATGGGTAGGTCAATTTAATGGTGTTAGTCCTACTGTTTTAAATTGGTTAACTGTTGCTGGGTTCCAAGTTGTTTATAAGAGACAATTATTTTCTGATAATACTTTAAGTGGATCAATACTTTTCAGTTTCCCTAGGGATAATAATGTTACATTTACGCTAGATAAGAGTTTTGTACATGATGGATCTTCAATTTCTTCAGAATTAAGAATTGGTGCTGCTAGTTCTCATATTTCATGTGAATTTAGAAGAAATTTACCTGAATGGTTACGAAATGCAATTGTTAGATCAAAATCTGAAGAAGAAGAGGATGATATTGAATTAGTATCGGATTTAACACTGTCGACAACAGATTTTGTTAGTGAATATGATCTTGGATTTAATATACTTTTAGTTAAACCAGTTGCAGAGGATACAGAAATAGGTTTTGGAGTTGGAGCTAGTATTCAAGATGGTGTTAATATGAAATTTAATCTTAGACGATTCAGACATAATTTCAATGTACCAATTGCATTGACACATATTTTTGATTGGAAAATGTTATTATTTGCTACCATAACACCAATTGCTTGTTTCTCTCTTTTCAAATCATTTATTTTTGATCCAATTTCAAGTTATTGGAAGAAGAAGGATATTAAGAATCAACGTAAGACTGCCTTCCTTGCAACACAAGAAAAGAGACAAAAGGCACTTGCTGAATTGGAAAAGATTAGAGAACAAGCACTTCAATCAAGAAATGCAGAAGAAGAAGTTAATGGTTTAGTAATTATTAATGCTAAATATGGAGACTTGGAAGGTGATATCGATGAAGGTGAATATCCATCATGGATTGATCTTACTGATCAACTTCAATTCTTGGTTTCAAATTCTAAACTTTACTTGCCAGAATATAGCAAGTCAAGAATGGAAGGTTCTTTTGATCCTGCACCAGGTGTATCAAAAACTTTACTTGTTTGGTATAGATTTAATGGTAAAACTCATAGAGTTGAAGTAGATGATGAGGAAGAATTGAGAATTCCAATTCTGGAAGATGTAATTGATAAGACTGAAGGTAAAGCTACTGCTAGTGCATCCTCATCAGATGATGAATATGAAAGTGATGAATGAGAAGATTCATTTTAGTTGATTTGGTTAATAATTTATTTGAAGCAGCTATTTAAGAATGTGCTGATTCATTATTCTCCACAATAAAATACTTTTTCACCATCAATAATACAGAAAGTTTGATCTTCCAAGTCTTTCAAAACCTTTTGTAATTGAGATTTTGGAAGTGAAGCATTCTCTCCTGCACATAATAAGGTTTCCATTTCTTCAATTGCAAATCCATTTTGTGCATTTTCGAAGATAGCCTTCTTGATGATTTCAATAGCTTCCTCTTCATCAATTGGTTCATTCTCAAATTCTTCTCTACCTCTCTTATTAGTGGTAGCAGTAGTACTCTCATCAGATTGTTCAGTATTGGTGAGGGTGAGTGGTTTCTTCTTTTTCTTTTTACTCTCACCTTCCACAGATGAAAGTTGAGCAAGAATAGCATCACTATTGGTATTATTTAAAAACCAAATAGAGTAATACATTAATTTGAAAGCAGATTCAACATCACTCTTAGTAATTTCTGTACCTAATCTCATTTTTGCATGTGCAGTTGATAATCTAATTAATGATTCTAATGTTCTAGCTGTGATTGGAAGTGTTTTTTGACCATTATTTGTTCTCAATTCTAAATATTTGATATGCATAAATTCTCTAGCTTCTTCAGTTAACCTTGGTGTTGTTTGTTTGGCATATTTAACATATTTCTTCAAGAATGAGAGAGGTATAATTAAGTGTTGATGTTTCTTGCTATAATCATCATTTTCATGAGATATCTTTTCAATTTCATTAAAGAATGAATTCATTTCATCAAGTTCAGTTAAATGTGTTTCAGTTGAAATACCAACTTTAGAGGTGTGATAATCTTGTGATTGTTGTCTGTGAACATTTAAAACGTGACTACCAACTAATCTATCTTTCTCTCCATTTCTTTCATCTAAAAGAATGTAAATTAAATCAAAACGTGATAGTAATGAATCAGGTAAACCAATATTTCTTTGAATTGATACTTGTCTATTATATTGACCATAAATAGGATTAGCAGCAGCTAAAACTGAACATCTTGCATTCAATGAACAGTGAACACCTGCTTTTTGAATTGTAACAGTTTGTTGTTCCATAACTTCGTGCATTGCAGTTCTATCTTGATCTGACATTTTGTCAAATTCATCAACACAAACAATACCACGATCTGCTAAAACCATTGCACCTGCTTGAAGGGATCTTTCACCTGTATCTCTATCAGCAACAACAGCAGCAGTTAAACCAACACCTGTTGATGCTCTACCTGTTGTTGAAATTGCCAATGGAACTGATTTTAAAACAAATCTTAACATTTGTGATTTGGCAGTTGATGGATCACCAACAAGTAAAATATTAATATCACCTCTAAGGTGAGTATTGGAAGTTGAAAAATTCTTTTCTACACCCCCTAGCATTTGTAAAAGTAAACTCTTCTTAATAAAATCATGTCCAAATATAGTTGGTGCCATTCCCCTAGATAAAATATCAAAAAGATCACTTCTCTTTGATAATTTTGTAATGTTAACAATTTCATTTTCTGAAAATTCTTCTTGTTGTGTTTGAAGTTCTCTGGTTACAATATGATTTACAATGAAAACCATTCTCATTTTGCTTGATAACTTAGTTTGACTTTGACCTGATGGTGGTAATGCTTTATAAACACCATACATTGTAACACGATCACCTGGTTTAACTTTATCAACCAAATCATCTTCTACTATACATTCAACTGATCTTGGAAGTTGACCTGCAGGTGCATTCTCAGGTGCTTCTTGAATAAATAATGTTTGTGTATCACAAAATTGTGATAATCCAAATTCAGTCTCCAATACATTACCATTAGCATCTTGAAAATTTAAATTTGAAGCACCAGCTCCTAAATTTGCATCACTTGTAAAGTCTGTTTCATGAAATTTGTTAGTATCTGGACAATAATAAATAACTCTCATCACCTTTTCAATAACAGATGAGCCTTTTTTTGAAAGATTAGAACAAATTAATGTTAATGTGATGTTGATGTTTTGTTGATGAGCAAGTGATAGTTGATAACATATTAAAGTGAAAGTTAATAGTGTTCGTGTGTGTTTGATAATTGTCATCATTATTAATTATTGTGATAAATAGAAGAAAACAAACATTTTGTTATAATTCCAGATAAACAAAGTAATTGATTTGCATAATTTGCTAATAAATGTCTCGGAGAAACATGATTATTATCACCCAATTCACCATCAAAGCCTAAATGAATTTCAGCATTAGGTGATTCTTCAAAAAACTTTGGAAAATTAATATTAATATATTCATGGAGTGCAATTTCAAAATCATATAAATAATTGAGAGGTTGTTGTTGTATTTGTTGTGAACTTCGATGATCAAAATTTCTAAAGTCATTCATGTTAATTATTAATCGATTAATACCGGAATCACTTGAAGTACCACCATAATTACTACTACTACTACTAGCTATATTGTTTGACACAATTTCTGATAGTTTATCATGATACTTTCTATTGGAGAGCAGAAAGTTTTTAAATAAACTCTGATTGTGTTGTGATTGCATTTTTTTTTAAAGTTTTATGTGTTTGGTTTAACGGTTAGTTTAATATTTTCGCGCCAAATTTTAATTAATATTCAACTACAAAAAAATGGCTCCATCAAGTCTTGATCTTGGTATTGAATGGCATGCTATGGATAGAGCCCAACGTTTGGCTCAAATATACGAGTTGTATGAAAAGGCTCAAAAAGAAAAATTAAATACATTGGAATCAAAATTGGCAAATTCATCGGAACCATTAGAATATAGAGTTAGTGAGGATAAACCAATTGAATTGGATAGAGTCATTTCTTTCGTTCCCGATTCTTACAGATCAAATGAAAATAGAGAGGATGTTATTTTGGAATTTGTTGAAAATTTTAATTTACAATATTCTCAATTATTTAAGGATAGAAAGCCTTTAATTTTATATCCTGAAAATGAAGTTGGCATTCATGTAGGTATTTTATTCTAAAGATAGTGAATATAATATTATTTATTGGAACAATTGTTTTTATTTCTAATATTAAGAAATTTATTTGTACATACATTAAACCAACTCTATTGCCATATCCTGATTTATATGATGCTAAAGGAATAGCTCAGTTTATTCACCATCATACAACTTTTGAATCATTGGATAGACCATTTGAAATTGTAAGTTTGGATTGGTTTGTGTGAAATAATTCTAATAACTTTAGCCTGAAGTTGTTTGTAGTCCAACTACAACTCTATATTGGCAAAAAGGAAATAGTTTTGATTTATCAACTTTATTAGTTTCTTTATTAATTGGAGCAGGATTTAATGCTTATTGTGTATCTGGATATGCTAAAAAGAGTATAGTTCTAAACGATCAAACTCAAAGTAATTCACCAATTGAAATTGAACCTGAAGAAGAGGAAATTACAGAAGAACAAAGAGTTTTCAAGCCAAGTAAATACAAATTAAAGACAAGACCAAATTTAACAAGTCATTTTAGAAGGGAAGATTATCCACTCAAGGAAGATATTGATATAATTGAAAGTAAAGTTAGTGAAGTATTAGGTGAAGATATTGAATCAGAGCAAGAAAAGATTCAACAAAATATTGGGAAAATTCTCAATTATGTTCATTGTTGGGTTGCAGTTCTACCTGGTAGAAGAGATGTTAAAGCACCATTCTTTATTGAACCAAGTTCAGGACAAGTATTTGAATTGAATGAAATTGATGAAGCTGGTTATTATGGAATTGAAAGTTTGTGGAATCATGAAAACTATTGGTGTAATATTTCATTTGAAAAGAAGATTTCTGAAATTGTTTTTGATTTGAAGAATTTACGTCATTGGGAATATGTTTTCATTCAACATTCAAAAGAGAGTGAAATTGAAGATGAAGATGAAAATGCTCAAGAAGAGAAGAGAATTGAATTTTTAACTGTAGATGAAGGTGAATATGATGATGATGTATTGGATGTTCCTTCTTCATGGGTTGGAAGAATTTCAATTGCTAAAAGAAAATATGAAGATAGATATCCGCTCAATTACAAACTTGTTGAATATGCGAATACTACTATTGAATATTTCTCTCCTTATTTTAGAAGTGATTTAGTTACAAAGATTATTACTTGTTTTCATGATGAAATGAAGGAAAAGACAAAAGAAATTCATTATTATTATAGTAATAGAAAGTAAGTTTCAATTATTATCATTATTAATGATTCACAATTTCATATTATTATATATGACAATTAATACCAATTCAACTATAGAGATTTATTAAGAAGAAGATCAGTCTATTACATTTATTCATCAGCAGATTCTGATGTACCAATTAGAGAGAGAATTCATGAATGGTTTGATCCTGGAAGAAAGACAACTTCTAATTTTGAAGCCTTGAAAGAATTTGTATTTGAGAAGGGAGTTAGAAGAGAATATAAATTTTATAGTGAAGCAAGATTGGATGGATTAGAAAAGAGAACTGAATTATTTGAATCTAAAAATTTAATTCAACCTAAAAAAGTAATTGAATATTTCCATAATAGAATTGATTTCGGAGATTATTTATGTTATAGATCTGTTACTTATGATATTGATAAATCAAGTGCAGGATTATTAAGTCAAGATCATCCAGAAGATGATAAATATGGACCAATTATTGGAGATTTAGGATCAACACAAAATAATAATTCAAATGGATTGAGTGGATCAATGATTGATTTTTCAAATACAACTGATAAAAGTTTTACAGATGGAGCCTTAACAAGAAGAAAACAATTGAATGATAATATCATTATTAAAATGACAGAAAAATTCCTTAGAGATGAAAGTAGAAATGCTAATGAAGATGTTGCCAAGAGAACATTCTATATTGTTGATAAAAAGATTAGATTAGAATATCATTATGGTGAAGGTAAAATAACAAGATCAGTGAGAGAATATACAAAAGATGGTCAATTTTATACAGAAATTATTGATCCATTCATGCCAAGACCTAAACTTGTTGATACAGTTGAAGAATATCATGCACTCTTACAAACTGAAGTTAAATGTAAAGAAGATATTATTAAGAGTACTGCTGAAATGGCAAATATACTTCAAACAAGATATTCAGAAGAGAAGAATATTCAATTTACCACAACTATTTATGATGTTGAAAGAAATAGACCAACTGAAGAAGAATTGAGATTATTAAGAGAAAAGGAAAGAGAATTAGAAGAACAACGTAAGAATAAGGACCTAGTTGATCATTTAATACCTAAAGATGGTGTTAAAAGTGTTCAACAAGCTGAAGAAATTTATTATACAGTTATGAAAGATCTTAAAGATCAACTCATGATGAGAATTAATATTATTGAAGAAAGATTACAAAAAGAAAAACAAAAATTGGCAAGAAGAAGAACCATGTATCAAAAAAGTCAAGAAGGAGTTGATAGAAATAGTGAAGAATATGTTCAATTCTGTCAAGATACTTTATTCAAAATTAAAATTCTCAAACAAAGAGCAGAAGATCACAATGCAAGAGCTGCAAAGAAATTTGCAGAATTGAAAGAAAAATTATTGAATCACAAACAATTAGGAGGATTCTTAAAACATTTGAAAAATAAGAAGAATTAATTGTTTGGTGAAATAGTACATATTTAATTATTAATAAATATAATATTATACTATAAATAGACTAACCGTAATTGTATTTAACAATGTATTGTACAGTAAAGTTTCAAATTTATTAAGGGGTGGTTGATAAATTAATTGATGGTTCAATATTTGTTCATGATGATACATGTAGTTGTGGTTGTTAACATGTTCTTAATAGTGAGTGCACTGAACCAATGTTAAGAGATTGATTGTTATTTAATTGTTATATACTCTCGTTGTTGTGTGAGAGGAGTATTTGAACTTGGTGGTAGTTACTATTAAGATTAAGAATAATCATCATCTTGTTCATCTTCATCTCTTTAAAAAAATGAATGATCATCACAATGATGAAAACTCTAAGGAAAATATAGATTATATAAAACAATCTAATGATGATCAATCCTTATATCTATTAAATACTACCATTACTATCACTACTACAACTTCTAATAATAATAATAATAATAATACTATTAATAATACTTTTGAAAATAATAATGAAAGAATACAAGATGAAGATGAATTATCACTTCATTTAGGACAAGAACATTTAAATAATAACACAATTACATATGATGAAGCTATTAATGAGTTAGGATTTGGTTTATTTCAAATTTTATTAATGCAAGTTTGTGGTGCTGGTTGTTTGGTAAGTTTTTATATATTAAATAAATTATTTAAGTAATATTAAATTATTTAACATTACAATATTTAATATATTATTGTAATAGTTTGATGGTATTGAATTATCTTTAATTTCATTTGTAATTCCAGGTATTAAACAACAATGGAATTTAAATGCTATTGAAACAGGTGCATTAGGAAGTATTGTATTTTTTGGAATGATGTTTGGTGCTTGGTTTGGAGGTTTTTTAAGTGACAAATTTGGAAGAAAATTAGTTTTTTGTAGTTCCATTTTTATTTCTTCTGTATTTTTATTAGCAAGTTGTTTTTCTGTTCATTTAGGAATGTTAATTACTTTAAGATTTTTTGTAGGTGTTGGTTTAGGTGCAATGGGTATGTTTTTATTTATACTTTCTATATTTAGTATTAATAATTTTATATTAAAAAATATAATTTAATAACAATTAATTTAAAAATAATAATTTAATATTTAAAATAGTACCATGTGATTTTTCATTAATGTTAGAATTTTTACCATCTAAAAATAGAGGTGCCTTATTAGGATTATTACAAATATATTGGAGTGTAGGAGCAGCACTTGAATGTTTAATTTCCTATTTATGTATTGAAGTAATTTCTAAACAATTTGAAAAAGGAAATCTATTAAATGATGGATGGAGATGGTGCATGTTTTTTTCTTCCATATTTGGATTTTTAATTTTCTTTTTAAGATTATTTGTTCCAGAATCTCCAAGATTTTATTTAATTAAAAGAAATTTTGAAAAAGTTGATCAAGTAATTGAAAAAATTTCAAAATTAAATAGAAAATCTTTAAATGATAAAAAAGTAAGATTAGCAACAACTACTAGAACACAATCTTCAATGAAATTATTTTCCAAATCAAGAGATTTCCAAATTGAGATGACACATCAAGAAGAATTTAAATCTTTAACTATTTTTAATCAATTTAAAATGTTATTTTCAAAGGAATTTTTATTTTCAACAATATTATTATTTATTATTTGGTTCATGTTAAGTTATGGTGGTTGGGGTTTTAATTGTATGTTTTAATATTAATTTATTAATTTTATTTAATTTAATTTTATTTTAATTTTATTTAAATTTTATTTAATTTAATTTTTTAATATTTTTAAAATAGTTTTAATTCCAATTGTATTTGAAAAAATTCAACATAATAATGTATATTTAAATTCCTTTTATGTAACAAGTGTTGGATTTATATCGAATATATTAACATTATTTATTATAGATAAAATGTCAAGAAGAACACTTATGGGAATAACATTTATATTTACAGGAATATTTACAGCCTTAGTAGGAGTATCAAATAATCCATATTCAGTTTTAACATTTTCAATGTTAGCAAATTTCATGTCTTCATTTCCATGGGCATTATTATATACTTATACTCCTGAATTTTATCCAACTTCAATTAGAACAACTGGAATGGGTGCATGTTCTGTTTTTACTAGATTAGCAGGTGCAATTACTCCAATGTTTGGTACTTTGGTTTTAGAATCTGGTTATTTCATTCCTTTTTTAACTTATGGAATTGCTTTAATCATTGCTGGTATTTGTTCTTTTTTATTAAGAAAGGAAACTTTAAATTCTACTTTACAAGATGTTTCAATTCATCAAAAATCAAAAGAAGAATATTTTTATTCTGAATTATCTTTAAATGAACCTATTTTAAATGATTTAATTCAACAAGATGATAATAATACTAATAATACTAATAATAATAATAATATGGAGGAGGATGACAACATGGATGAACAGAGTCAACAAACAAGTCATAACATTAATAATAATAACAACAGCATGTTATTTGAAAGAAATGTTTCTATTGCTACTGAGCCATCAATGAAACAAGATGAAATTGATTCAAATGATTATGTTATTGCTTCAAATAAATTCTAGTTTCATTCAGCTTTTCAAACATTGTATTTCAATTAAATTTCAATTAAATTTCAATTTTATTTTTTTAATAAGGAAGTAAACAAGTAATTTAATATTGTCATACAAGAGCCTTTCTTTTAAATTTACAATATGCTTAGAGTTTTTTGACCAATGTAGTCAAAAATAATTAAAAAGTACCAGACATGTTAACAGAACCACCGAATAGAACTGAACGTGTAGGGAATGATTTAGTACCACAACTCATTGGTTTGAAAATTGGTTTCTTTTGTTCCTTTTCATCCTTTTTAGATAAAGTTCTCTTATCATATGGATCTTCAATATAAGCAGGGAAATCACTTCTTTGTTTAACAGGAGATGGATAGAATGGTTTTCTCTTATCTTCATTTTCCTTCTTTGGTGAAGAAGATTCCTTTTCTAATGCCTTTTTAATTGTTGCTTCAACTTTATCATCTGTACCTAAAATTCTAGGAGCAGCAACAGATTTATGAGTATCAAAATAATCTAAATGATGTGATGATGAAATAAAAGCCTTCTTTGCAACTTGTTTAGCCTTTTCATTTTCCTTTTCCTTTTTCTTTTCCATTGAATGATCAAATGGATCAGTTTCGTATTTGTATTCTGTACCTCTTGAAATTGTTAAACCTAAATATCCAAATGTACCTCTTTTAGGTGGAGATGTATAAATTGGTCTCTTTTGTTCCTTAATTGGTTGTGGTTTTTCACCCTTAGCTAAAACTTCATATTCTTGTTCATGTTGAAAAACAGAACCAATTGTACCATAATATGTTCCCAAGCCTACTGATTTCTTTGGAGGTGATGATGGTTTAAATGGTGTCTTGTGTGTTTGTTGTACTTTAACCTCATTTTCCTTTCTATACTTTCTTTCATTGGTTCCTGGATCCATATAAGGATCACCTTCATAAAGTGATTTAAAGTCTCCAAATGTAATTCCTTTACCAACTTTACCTCTCTTTGTTGGTCCAGTTAAAAATTGTTTACCAAGTGTTCTACCATCTTTCATTCGTTGGTCTCTTAATATTTTACTCTTATCATATTCATCACCAATTGTTGTATATCCTAAATCAACTGGTTCGTTAACGTTTGGTTTGTTACTCATCTTATTGTTATTTTTATGATTGTCGTCGTAATATTGTAGTAAATTTACAGTCACCGTTAGAGCGGTAAGGTTTTATATAAATACACTCTCTGAGGGTGTTGTGTTGTTGAGGTATTTTTTTTAAGATTGGTTTTTAAAACGTAACTGTAGATTTTTTATTCTCTCCCTCAGAGTTCGTTAATAACTGAAAAACTTTACAAGACGTAACGGCAAGTGTCGATAAATTTCATCATTTCTCTCTCTCGTACATTTTCAATCAGCAGCAATTAATAATATTTGATGATTGCTGCTACAATCAGTTGATGATTTTAAATATAATATAATATTAAGGAGGATTGATGCTTAATAATAATAATCATGATTCTTAAAGGAACAATATTAATTGAATATATATTAATCAAATAGTGTAACGGTAACACGTAAATTTCAAATGTTGATTTGGCGCTAAATTTCAAATCCATCAATGGTCATCAAATTTACTTCTAATTTGAATTTCTAAATATTAAATCAATTATTCAAAATATAAATATGAAGGAAATCCTTCAAAATATTTAAAGGGAGTTAAATATTTTACACTCTCTTGAACAAAATAACATTCAATTAAAATAATAATATTTAAAATTAAATTCATTTTAATATTTTACAATTTACTATATTACACAATCAATAATCATTTAAAATAATCATTTAAAATAATAAT